ATTTTTTAAATATGACTATAGTGTACAATAATTTGAGGTAGACATTATTTATTTCCCTTTCAATTAAAGTGCCCACATGTGATCAACTGGTCCCAACATGTAAATTTACTTTAATTGTCGAGTGAGCCACCCGTGGGCATGCAGTCTTTAACATGTTAATAATTAGCTACCTAGTATAATAATGATGTAATAAGATTCCACATTATATAGATATATGGGTCTTGAGATATTTAAGAGGTAGTCTTTATTCTGATAAACTTAAAATTTATTGTTGAATGGTATATATGTACATAAATTATTTGATTCTACCACTCATTCTGAAAGCAGACTCATTACAAGAAGAATGAGCTTGATAGATTGTGTTGCTCTTTTAAATAATGATGTTCAGAACATTTTGTGTGGATACAAAAGAAACTTGTGTTGCTATATTGTTCACCATTATATATGTAACATTTTGTGTGAATACAAAATGCCAATTAGCAAGATTAAAAAGTAATTAAATATTAATAGTTACTTGAGTAACATAATTTAAAGGATATTTGACAATTGTAGTGTAATCAACATGTTTTCTGTCTGATCAGTTGACACATGGCTTCTCAGCGGTATATCCATATAAGTTTCCTCTCCCATCCCATATTGTCGTTTAAATAGAAACATTTTTCAAAATTAGAAGCTAGAATTCCCTTCTTTTATATAGGTCAATTAAATTAACCACGCCATCTTAATAATTATCTAAATACTTTTAAATTGATATATAATATCTCTATGTAAATTTTTGTTAAAACTTTAATGGAAAAAAAAGAATAGTTAAATTTAAAAAACTTTAAATGCTTGTCTTGTAAAAAATGTACATTTTGAATAGTGCCATTTTTCTATTTAACCGACGATATGTTCTAGAAGATGGCATAATCTCATATATCTTTGAAAGGAAAACCTCATTTCCCTGATATGAGCAGAAGGGATAACTGCAGCTCGCACTGATTGTTTTTGACACTCAAAAAGTAACAGCACAGTGAAATACGATTTTATATCCCAGGTTTTCATCTCCAATGCTGGAATAACTATAATGATTTCTTCAAGACAGGAAGGCTAGATTTCTCTTCAATTTTTATTATCATTTGCAGTTTTATTTAGGAGCCATTTCACAACTATGGTTTGAAATAAGCAATGAACTTGCATTAATTTGAGACATTGTTTATATTCATGAATGAATAAAGCAATTTGGTCGTTATTCCTTATTGCTATGAATACATTTTTCTTCATTAATGCACATTCGAAATGTAATTTATTCCAGAATGATATTACATACATTATTATTGTAATATTCACTTTTTCATTGTCGGGTGAAGCTGTAAAGGCGAGCTGCTGCCAACAGCATTAGAGTAGTCCCAAAAATAAAGTCACTTTTTTAACTACTGAACGGATTTTTATGAAATAAGAATGATATTATAATATAGCTTATGCATCAGAATACCACAGAGGCTATATTTTTTATTGAAATTTAAGGCGAGTGGCACCGCGGGCACCGCTTGTTAAAATAAATAAATAAAATATAATAGTAATAGAAAAGGTCTATTGTTCACAGACATTACTGGTTATTAACATTGTCGGTCAACACTCAACACTAACTGGTTTTGGATATCAGTACCGTATTTATTTACGTTTGTCGCCCACGTACCACTGTCATATTCAAAATAACTCGGTAAGATTGAACATTGACCTACTTAGTAGTGATGCTTTTCCCCATCGTAAGATAATGTTCGCGTTTTTTTAATGGATGATAATGGTGCTGCTGCGCTAACGGTATACGTTGGCGGGGCACCAGGGGGGATGATTGACGTAATATATCATAATATATCGATTAGAACATTTGTTATTTATCCATAGAAATAGAAATAATCTTTATTCAAATAAACTTAATATAAGCACTTTTGAATAGTCTTATTTTTTTTATTATACGTTACGTACGTACATTCGCAGACTCATCACAAGAATGAGAAAGAAACTCGTGTGGTGCTCTTTAAATAAATGTTGTTTTAAGCAGATTTACATTAACAAGGATTAGGCATGCGATAATCAACAGACTTAAGCACTTAATGTCTGTCCAAATAGATAACATTGTTAGCGTTATGAATTTTAAATTAGATATTTTCTACAAAAACATAATCGTCATTTATAAATTCTTCAATTTTATAATAAGCTTTTTTACAAAGTATTTTATAAAACATTTGAATCTTTTCCGTAAAATTGAGTACTGTCTCTGCCAGTTTCTTGTAAAACCTTACGCAATTTCCATAAAACGAATTACTAACTTTCGACAAACGGCACTTACGTAAAAAACCCATAAGGGATTATGTTTCACATCTCTAGACTCAGCTGGTGGTGTATAAATTGGCTATGATCACAAGATAATCGAATCTAATAATTGAAACAACCTAATTGATACTGATAATGTAACTTAATTACAGTTTCCTCTCGCCACCCACGTGGTGAATGTAATTTATGTTCTCGTGTATTGATCCGGCTGCTATGACCGCCATTTTTTATTTATGACGTCATCAGAAATCCAATATGGCGGATAGTTGTTGCAGTTTGTAGGAATAGGAATTACAAGTCGATGGTTTGCATTAGTTGCATTCGTGGAATTAGTAATTTGAGACTTATCGAGAATTCTTTGTCGTCTGCGTGGATATCCGTCTCTCTCTGTGATTTGTTTTTAACCATTTAAAAATGCATTTGTCGTTATTAACGGTTAATTAACTGCATTTTATACTTGATACTTTCAATAGCTAGAGCCCAAGTCTTCATCACACTTCGCCCAATATTCAACTTTTATTAATGCTCAATGTAATCTTTAAATTGTATCCTGTGTTATTCTGCTGTATATAAGCTATATAATTGTAAAGTTTTAAAAAATCCGTTAATTAGTTTTTGCATGAAAGAGTCGCAAACATGTATACATGTACCCATCAATAGTCACAAACTTAAGAGTTTATTGTAATGTAATTTTGTGTAATTGATGTCGTAGGTATGATTGTCTATGTATCTGTGTATGTGCATATGTATGTATGTGTTATTTACACATACACACATATGCGTATATATACATTCCAAAATAATTGCAATTTCATATATGTAGATGTGTGCAACAATGTACTGGTTGTTATGTAATATTAAAAAGATTAACCCTTCCATGTAAATGTGTTGGTTCATTAATATTATGCTCTCAGCACAAGAGGGTTAATTAATTACTTAGGTTATACAGAGCAAGTACTAGCATCCGTCTAAAAGGGTGGTTCTACCCCACAGTTACCATTGGAGACCGCCGTGATCAATACCGGATCATTGCAAAGTTGGGTGGACTAACTGACCTATGACTGACTTCATTCCCATCCTATCGTACTGCACCGACTGTATGCAGGTATTCTGTTGGGGTGTAACAATCGATGTTAACAACCCCCTCGTACCACCCCGGCAGTCGGTATCTATATTAATATTGCTAGTTGTTAGTCTCACTTTGAGTGGATTTTAACTTTATTTTTCTAAAATAAAAGACAGGCAGATAAAAATTGTAAAAAGTGTTATTTTGGTGTATGTATTTATATTCATATGCATGTAGTAATTTTATTTATATCTAATTTTATTTATATGTTATTCTTATGTATAAGCGGTATTACTGTAAAGTTTCATCAAAGTCCGTTCAGTAGTTTTTGCGTGAAAGAATAACAAACATCCATTCATACTCACAAACTTTCGCATTTATTAAGATTGGAACACGACTCGATGTAACAATATTCCAGGACAGACACAGCCACATCTATTCACAAGCTAATAAACATACACACAGACAGTTTACACATGCTGTTTCAGAGTGAAATTTTTGGCAATAAAACTTATATTGGCTAAATTTCGTAAAATGCAGTTTAGTTTATATTAGTGATGTTAGAAACTATCGGATATGAAAAAATATCCGTAATCGTAACCGAATCCGAAATAAATGTGTCGGATAATATCGGATAGGGATGGAGACTAATTGAGACCCGTTATGTAACCATTTGCATGTTACTTTTGAAATTCCTTAAAAAATTAATATCCGTAACCGAAATTATCCGAAACTAACGGATAATCCGAAATAATTTCATATCCGTATCCGGTATAATAATCATATCCGAAACCTATCCGTATCCGAAATTTCATATACAAAATTCCTTGGCTTATATTTTAATCGAATTAGGTGTTATTTTTCGGAAGTCCATTTCACTACTTGATTAATTTATATAATTATAATTGTCTATCACAAAAAAAAATATTTCGGAAATTAATTTTATTGTTGGCAACCCTAGACATTCAGCGCAACCCCCTCATCCCGTTGCTGGCCTGCTATAGGCTTGATCAACTGCGTACAAGGGGGTATATTGAATTTATCATTGGAAGCGTCATGCAGTTTATATAACTATTGACGTGCCGAAAATGATAAAACATTATAACAAACACAATTAACAATTCTCTTCTAATGCAACAAGTGTTCAAATTCAAAGTGTATGTTTGTGAAGTACATGTAACGAAGGTCTTACAATAAATAATATTTTTGACAGTCTTAGGAAATTATGCGTATTAATACAATCTAATTACATTTATTTTTACATTTTAAAGGTATATATTATTGATTACATAAATATAATATTCTAGCTGTACCCACGACTTTTTCTAAAATAAAAGATTTTTTCTGAAAGTAGCCAAGTATCAGCTACTTGCCAAAAAAAGTCCCGTCAAAATCGGTCTAGCTATTTCAGAGATTAGCCGGAACAAACAGACATGTTATACATAGAAAACACCCAGAACGACACAAACAATCATACTGCAATGAATACAAATACTTGTGCCGTGCGAGGAATCGAACCCACCACCATCGGAAGTAAAGTGGTATGCTAAACCGCTAGACACCCGTTCTAAAAATGTTATTAAAGATAAAGACTAATAAGTATGTTGTTTCATTCCAGGTGCCCGGGTGATGGGCCCGCGCTGATCAATCATCATGATGAAGCGTACAGGCGTACCCCGGCTCGGTCCCGACGAGCCTGCGCCGTTGCCCCCCCAGCCTCCAACTCAGGTATTTCTTTCTTATTTTTGTATTGGGTTATTTGGGTTATTGTCAGGTGCTTGGACCTGTAGCACTGCGACCTGCATAGATCTATTGTGGTCGCACTTTTTCAAAGTTCGCTACCTAGACCCGTCAGGGACAAGATTGAAGGTTTTTTTTAATGGTAATGGAATGGTGCACCCGCCTGCACTAACGGTTTACGCTGGCGGGGCGCCAGTGGAGGATGATAAGATGAGCATGAGCTCAGGTCAGTTAGCCCATCTTGACAAATTCACGAGGAATTTATCACGATGGTTTCCAAGGGTACCGCGTGGTGGTCAACCTGACATGGTACATTGCTAGTAATGGAGTCATGAGTCCACATTACTAACAATCCCCTTCCCCTCTTGTCAGGTGCTTGGACCTGTAGCACTGCGACCTACATAGATCTATTGTGCTCGCCCTTTTTCAAAGTTCGCTACCTAGACCCGTCAGGGACAAGTATTGAAGGATATTCTTAGGAGCTATGGTTTTTATCTCCTCAGGATAGAGTGTAAACTTTTCAAACGAGATATTACGTTTAGTGGGCTAGAGAACCATGTAGGATGTGTCCCCACACATCCTACATGGTTTTTTTTATGGATGATAATGAAATGGTGCACCCGCCTGCGCTAACGGTTTACGCTGGCGGGGCACCAGTGGAGGATGATAAGATGAGCATGAGCTCAGGTCAGTTAGCCCATCGTGACAAATTTAACAAGAATTTATCACGATGGTTTCCAGGGGGAACCGCGTGGAGGTCAACCTGACATGGTACATTGCTAGTAATGGGGTCATGAGTCCACATTACTAACAATCCCTTTCTCCCCCCCATCCTACATGGTTCTAGCCCACTAAACTTCAACGCCCCCGCGTTTCCTCTTCAGTTTGGCAGTCAGATTTTTGTTCTGCTCAGGCCTGGATTTATCATTGTTCAATTTCATGTCAGTGTCCTGTGAGGGCCCTAGTCATTATACATGATGCAGGTTTGGCCTATTCGGTCTTTTACCAGAAGTAGACTGTGTGTCTCTAAGTTTCACCCATTGCTGCAGTAAAACAGCTTGCTTTCTAAGCTGTAACTTATAGAATGATATCTGGCAGTGAAATAATAAAAATAATATCCATGAACAATTCAAACAGTGCCATCTAGTCCCAAGCTAAGCAGAGCTTGTGTTATGAGTACTAGACAACTGATAGATGTACATAAAGACTTTATTTTGTAAATGCATACATAATATACATATAAAACACCCAAGTTCAATTATACTTATGATAATAGTAAGTGCGAGGTATCGAATCCACAACCATCGGAGGTACGACAATGTACTAAACCGGTAAACCAACGAGACCGTCAAGGTGGTACCCGTAGTTGCCATTTCTGACCAGTCTCATGCCTCATGTCTTGTCTTAACCGAGTATAACCCCCTCATCCCGTTGCTGGCCTGCTATAGGTTTGATCAACTGCGTACAAGGGGGTATATTGAATTTATCATTGGAAGCGTCATGCAGTTTATATAACAAATGACGTGCCGAAAATGATAAAACAAATTATTATTACCTTTTTATAGATAGATAACTAATTTTAACTAAAATACCATGTTGATCACCTGGATGAACGCCATAGTATTTTCAACAACTCGACCACACGTTTTAAAAAAAAATTGTCACTCACAACCACATTGTGACACGTGAGACCCTCGGTATTTCAGGCTACATTCAGTTCAGTATATAGATTGAATAGAATTGAGAAGAAGAAACTCAATTGAATTGTATTTTTTTTTAAAGTTAGTTTAGTTATATTGTATTGCGTATTGCGACCCTTACAGTAGAAATTATAGCCACAGACAAATATGTATAAGTATATACGAAGATACATAAGGTTAGGTTCTATATTCTGATTATTGTTGACTAGCTGTAACCGCGGTTTCACACGCGTTAATTTAAAAAAAAATATATAGCCTGTGTTATTTTGATGTATAAGCTATATTACTTATAGTTTCATTAAAATCCTTTCAGTAGTTTTTGAGTGAAAGAGTAACAAGCATATTCACAAAATTTCGCGTCTATAATATTATTTCTATCAGTTGTCTAGTACCCATAACACGAGCTATGCCTAGCTTGCGAGTAGACTGTGCTGAGTGAATTGTCCTTCGTTTACCTATTGTTGATATATAAGTGGTAGTCATTTCCCACCAGGCTGGCCGTATGCTTGTTTGCGATTCCACTTACATAAACAAACCCGGACGGATCTCTAAACTGAGATTGATAACGGATACAGATATGGCAGTCCATTTCAATGTACATGCATACAAAGGTACACAATACAGTGATAAACTGTGCGTGTTATAAACATGAGGTTATCAACACTTATCATTATGTAGGTGTGAAATAAATAGTTAAAGATTGTGAGAACCTCGTGCCTTAGTGGTTTATTGCGTCGACTTCGAGCCAAAAGGTCCTGAGTTTGAATGTGGTTAATATAATTGACTGTTACTATATAACATATACAACACATGTGAACGGTCTGCTCTCATGCCATGCTCAATGTACGAGGATTTTTACAAACATACATATAGTCATACTCGTGAACGGGTGCTGCTTGTGGGGACTGGTCTGTTCAGGTTGCGATCACTGATTAGTTTGTTTTTTTTTTCAATAGCATATGCTAGTGGTCACTCCATTCTCCCAAATTTGAATTTAAATGAAATTGCATTATTGTAAATTTGTACATTAAAAAAAAAATACAAGCTGAGTTTCTAGTCAGTTCTCATCTCGAAATCATTCCGAACGTACGCACAACGGCCCGAATGAGAGGCTAATTGCGGAGACTGGAGTCCAACATACATCATTCCGAACTGACGGTAGATTTGACATATCATAAGAGTCTGTAATATGAATAAAGATATTTTGAATTTTGAAACAAAATTGACTAAAAATTGTCATCAACGGCAAGAGTTGAAGACAGTCGCCGTGGTCAAAGTCGGCCGGCATTACATTACATGCACTGACCATATAAATCTCTGTAGGCCGTATGGTTGACTGAGATAAAATGCCTTCTGAAAATAAAACCATAGTGATAAATTCTTGGTGAATTTATCACAATATGCTAACTGACCTGACCTCATGCTCATCTTATCATCCTCCACTGGTGCCCCGCCAGCGTATACCGTTAGCGCAGGCACCTTTCTTAATATTTAAAAAAATACCATATCATGTGACCTCCAGGCTGTTTCCCCTGGAGACCATCATGGTAAATTGGCATGTATGATAACTAATTGACCTAACTTCATGCTTATCTTATCCTCCACTGGTGCCCCGCCAGCGTATACCGCTAGCGCAAGTGGATGCATTACTCCATTATTATCTATACAAAAAAAAAGCCACTGTCCGAGTTACATTGACCTCCATAAAAAGTACAATATGTCCTTTCTATCCTAAATTGCCAAATTCAATTATTGGTTAAGGTGTGATATTGTAAAATATAAACACTCATTTATAGTATTTCCATTCTTTTACGTAAAAAAGACCATGTTCAGTTGGCACAAGGTTTACGTTCCAATGTCAAAGAAAAAGTGAAACTGTACGAACAAAAGTCGTATAAAGTCGTAATAGTGCTATCGTTGAATATATTACAGAACGAAACGTGACTGTTTGCAGCAGGTTTGTAGATTGCTGGTTCTGTTATGTAATGTTATTTGAGGGTCACTTTGTTAACTTTATATTATATTGTCGATTAAATAGAAAGATGACATTCTTCAAAATTAGAAGCTAGAATTGCCTCCTTTTATATAAGTCAATTAAATTAACCACGCCGTCTTAATCATTATGTAAATGCTTTTAAAATGATATATATTACTTTTGTGTAAACTTTCACATATTCCCTTTAAAAAATATTTTAAAGGGAAAAATAATTTGTGAAAAAAAGTATGTGAAAAATAATTTAAATATATTAAAAAACTTTACAAGGCAAGACAAAAATGTACATTTTGAATACTAACATTTTTCTATTTAACCGACGATATGTTCTCATGTATCTATATACATACACATATAAATAAAATTGGAGTGTCTGTTTGTAATATTGAAATAACCGTTTTTTACTACATGCATATGAATATAAATAATACATAGTGTACTATAAGAAGTCGCTTCCGCTATCCACGCAACGGATTTTAACGTAGTTTTTATCAATTAAGTGACTCAAGATGGTTATATGTATAACTAGATGTTCCCGCGACATCGCGTGGAATTTAACTTTATTTTTCTAAAATAAAAGTAGCCTAAGTTACTCCTTATTACATCAGCTACCTACCAAAATCGGTCCAGTCATTTCAGAGATTAGCCAGAACAAACAAACAGACAAAAATTGTAAAAAATGTTATTTTATATTCGTATGCATGTAGTAAAAAACGATTATTTCAATATTACAAACAGACACTCCAATTTTGTTTATATGTATAGATGTATAGATAATGATGATAGACAGATTGCAAGTATACTTGATGAAATCCTCAAAATACTTTTGTGTAGTACCTTAAAAAAGCTGATCCAATATAGCTAGGTCCATTTTATCTAACGTTCAAGGTCACGGCGAATCAGTAAACATGGATAACGTCTATTTTGAAGGCGCGTGTTTTGTTATAAATAGCAATAGTTGAATCACTCCACCAAGCTTTGTCATGCCTGCCGCCGCGCGGGAAACTTCTACAAACTATACGATATAGGGATGGACAATGTTTATCGATGTTTAGTCGAAAAATATATATTTTTTTGGATGATAATGGTATGTTGCGCCGTTGCCCAACCCCAACATCCAACTCAGGTATTTTTGTATTGGGTTCTTTGAGTTATTGTCAGGTGCTTGGACCTGTAGCACTGCGACCTGCATAGATCTATTGTGGTCGCACTTTTTCAAAGTTCGCTACCTAGACCCGTCAGGGACAAGATTGAAGGTTTTTTTTTAATGGTAATGGAATGGTACTCCCTTTTGCCCTGTTTACGTTGGCAGTGCACCAGTGGAGGATAATAAGATGAAATATGAGGTCAGGTCAGTTAGCACATCGTGACAAATTCACCAAAAAATTATCACGTTGGTTTCCAGGGGGATACCGCGTGGAGATAACCTGACATGGTACATTGCTAGCAATAAGATCATCAGTCCACATTACTAACAATCCCCTTTTCCCCCTTTATACTAATATTATAAAGCTGAAAAGTTTGTTTGTTTGAACGCCCTAATCTCAGAAACTACTGGTTCTAATTGAAAAAATATTTTTGCGTTGGGTAGTCCATTTGTCGAGGAAGGCTTTAAGCTATATAACATTATGTTACAACCTATAGGACGGAGCTGCAATTAAAGATATTGCAAAAGGTGCGGAAATGAAACTCAGACGAAGTTGCACGGGTCAGCAAGTAGTTAGTCAGCTGGCGAGCTATAAAATATAAGAATAAATATTAGTGCGTCGAAAAAAGGGGAACAAGAGAAAACATTGATGTTTATAATTCGATATTTAACTAGCTGTGCCGACAAACGTTGTTTTGCCATATAAATTAAAATCGCTATTAAAAAATAGAGGTTGATGCTAGAAGGGTGAAAATTTAGGGTTGTATGTATTTTTCAGTCCTAAATAATAATAAAATATGTTGAAAAAATATAAAATATATATTTAGAGGTGGATATCCCTTACCATTACCACCACGAAAAATAGATAGTAGCCGATTAATCGAACAAGCCGTTTGGGAGGAGTATGGTAACTAACATTGTGACACGAGAATTTTATATTCGATATTTAATAATACATCGATACCTACGCAACCCTAGTATAGTGTATTGTTTTGATTTTACTTCATCTGTGAATTATCTGTCATATTGGCAGGTGACGCTCGCGGTTGATATTGTGCTTCCGTACCCTGCAATTTCACTGTCACATCACACCCTATTTCTTCTTAAAACCCTATGTTGTCTAGAGAAACTACTCGGCAGGTTGTCTTTAGGATTTTAGTTTAACTTCGCCCAACGCAGTGGATACGGATCAGCTAGTCTTAGTAATCTTTTATTTATATTATATTATATATATGTTATTATATATATTATATTTATTTATATTATATATATGTTAAAACAATTAATAAAATAAACTAAGCCACTAACAGGCTTTTACAAATAGCAACAGAATTCGAAGAAATTCGACATCTCTACGTATAAAGTAATTTTTAGATAAATCTTTAAATATTTTTTTAATTGTTACAGATACAGCAAGCTGGAGCTAGCAATATGCATACATTGGCCCAATCGGCCCAACCTTCAATTATTGGTGAGTGTCTTTTTTATTAAATAATGTATAAATAAGGTAGATATTGTTCAAAATCATTTCTGTATCTATTCCCCACTAACATCCAAAGCGTTGGGCTTTTAAGCTGTGTTCTAATATGAAACGTGTGCCATATATAACAAGGTACTGAAACATGGCACTTTAGTCATCGTGAATAGGGTAATAAGGGTTAAGATGAAATTAAATGATTTTGAAACAGGGGTGTCACAAGCAGTTTACATTGATCACTTGTGTATATTTGTATATGTATAGAGACAATGATGAGAGCAATGCGATGTCGTGTGACAGACTGTCAGTGTTGAACACACGCATGCTGCCTTCCTACTGACGTCTCTATCACACGTTGACTGATACACATTAAATAATATAGTACAAAGAAAGATTGTATGGAAGTAATGTCATTTTTAAAGATAGAATATTGAAACTTAGTTTTTTAGGCTGTAGATTAAATATAAATAAATTAATATTGCATTTAATATATAAAATAAAATAGGAGATGAAAGTTTGTATGGAAATTCGTTATTATTGAACCTAGAACGATGAAAGTTTTTCATATGGCTTCTTTTGTGTTAGATTATAAATTTTTGACGAAGTTGCGGGCCACAGTTAAATTAAAAATAGAAATATCAACATCATCTACCGTCAGTTAGGTAATATGTATTGTTTTATTGTGTCAGGTGCAACAGCGATGTTGTCAGTGGGCGGGTTCGGTCGGTCTGCGCCCCGCCCTGCCGGCCCGCCCGTGCTGCCGGGCTACATGAAGCCGGCCGTGCAGTACGCCGCGCCCAAGCAGCCGCCCCAAGTGCAGCCACGGCTCAAGGTCAGTATATACCACACACCGCTCACCAACCACTATCCACTATCCACCATACACCTCTTACCAATCGCAATCCACCACTACTAACCACCATCCCACCACACCCCACACACCACTCACCAACTACTACGTACCACACACCACCACTCGCACACCACAGACCACAATAACATATGACACACTGTACACCAAATACCACCCAGCAACCACAACCCACTACACACCAACCACGCACCACTCAACACCCACCACCACTACCACCCAAAAAAAGACCTATCAAAATAATACAATATTTACAAAAATAATGGCGGACAAGCATCCAGCAACATACAACGTATATAGAAAAAATTGAAATAATACAAATAAGATTTTTAAAATTAATTGTAGGAGAAAAACTAAAAATAAAATTTAAAGACAACTATAAAGAATTATTTAAAATTTGTAACGTTCTACCTGCATCAGAAAAACATAAATACTTATTAGCTACTAAAAACCACAGCAAACAACACCATATGACGAAAACAAGCCATCGTATAGAGACTAGGAAATGTGTACAAGGGAAATACGAAACCCCACCCCTACATCTAAATAATTACTATGGATATCGATTGTTACAATTAAAATTGCCTGAAATATTTAATAAAATGCCTCAACATATCAGAAATCAAAATAGATATAAATCCTTTTGTATAAATTATAGAAACCATTTATTAAAAACATATAACATCACATAAAAAAAAAAAAAATCTTGTCCTTATTTAATAGTATTTAATACTTAAATATTGTAAAACGGAATACTGTATTTTATGTGTACGTTAAAATACTATCTAAAATAATATATAAGCATGTACCTATTGTAAGTAGATAAGAGAGAACTACGTGCCTGCAGACAAACCCCGACAGGAGTTTTGCAGGATAGTAGAATAATAATATGTAAAATTTGAAAAAAAAAAAAAAAACAAAATAATTAAATGCGCAGACAAATTTTATACAAAGACTAGATGTTCCCGCGATTTCGTCCGCGTGGAATTTAATTTTATTTTTCTAAAATAAAGTAAGGAGCAGTAACTTAGGCTACAGTTACTCCTTATTACATCAGCCATCTGCCAAATAAAGCCTCATCAAAATCGCTCTAGCCATTTCAGAGATTAGCCGGAACAGACAGACAGACAAACACTGTTAAAATTGTTATTTTGGTGTATGTGCCGTATTTATATTCATATGCATGTAGTAAAAAACGGGTAGTTTCAGTATTACAAACAGACACTGCAATTTTATTTATATGTATAGATGCATGTAAAAAACTGTTATTTCAATATTACAAAAAGACATTCCAATTTTATTTATATTTATAGTTATCTGTAAAAACAGACAGGATTGTATGTATATGTAGTTTATTATGCGTACAAAATTTTACGAGCCACTGAGCTTTCAACGGAAGGGGGATTTAGAAGTGACAGATAAACTTCGCGTAACGTAGATATACTTTGATGTGACACGCAGACACAACGTAATAAATAAAACCTATATACGACGTTGTTTATTATCTACTAGCTGTGCTGATGTATAAGCTATATTATTTTAAAGTTTCATCAAAATCCGTTCAGTAGTTTTTGCGTGAAAGAGTAACAAAGATCCATGGATACTCACAAACTTTCGTGTTTATAGTATTAATAATACAAAGAGGGACAGGAGAAATCAATTGATTGACAGGATGTATATTATTATATCTGATCGCTGAACAATTAACTCTAGGCTTTGATCAATGACAATTAACACAGCGCCTTCTATTTCCACGGTAAGTATAGCCTGCTAAGGGTTGACGTGGCAAAAAATTGTATGTTTAGAACTCTAAACAAGAACAATACTGTTTTGTCCTTTACTATTATAAACTTAAATATTACTCATACTAATAAATAGCTTGTATTTATTATTTTAGTTTTATGTAATTGACATAACAAACTGAAAATCCTTTTGATGGCTTTTTTTTTGTTCCTTTTATCGTTAACAGAAAGGCAAAGGGAACTAAGCTCATACAGATATGTCTGCATGTTATTTATCCACTTTATGGTAAACGGTAATATATTGACATCATATACCACCCACGAACAACACACCACACACCACTCACTAACCACCATTCACCACCCACTACATCCCCCACACACGCCACACACCACTCTAAAGCTACACACTATACACCAAATACCACCAACCCACCACCCACTACACACAAACCACTCGTACGTTCCGTTGCTTCGTAAACAGTAATGCAGACAAAAAAATAGGTAATATGTGGGATTTTGAGACTTCAAATATGACGGAGACGAATAAATTTTGTAACATGTTAGTGTCTGAGACTAAACTAAAATATATCTTCAGCAGTTGTTCGAGCAGCCGGCGAGCGTGCCGGCGGCGGCCGCGGGCGGTCGAGTGTCGCCCGGGGCGGCCCCCCCAGCGGCGCAGTTCCAGCGGCTGAAAGTGGAGGACGCGCTGTCCTACCTGGACCAGGTCAAGTTCAAGTTTAACACCCAGCCGCAGGTCTACAACGATTTCCTGGACATCATGAAGGAGTTCAAGAGTCAGACGTGAGTTTACTTTGTTATAACTAAACATCATTAAATATATAATAGGAAAAAAATATATAATACTACTCACATAGACCATATACAGACATAGTATAGAACTAGCCAAGAAATTAACAGATTTGTAATGACATCCGTGCAAAGCCGTGGCGTGTCGCTAGTGCTAAATAAATGTCTTAATTAATATAGACTATTAGCTGTATCATATTTTACAATATTTTGTTCGTACCGGTATAAATATTGTTTTTGGAATTGGCAACCCTAAGCTAAGCACTTGATAAAATTTAACTAATATATAATGATTGTGTTATAGAACCAATCGAAGGTTTTGTGTGAATCCGTGCGAAGTCGGGGGTCGTAATCTAATTATAAAACAAACGATGATGATAATAATTACCGTTTGACGTCAATGAAAAAGAAACATGGCTGTATTTTCATCTGATTCAATCTGATAGTAATACAAAAGTACCGTAAATGACTGCAGATATCCTAATGTTTGTATTTGTTGCAGCATCGACACCCCAGGGGTCATCACCAGGGTGTCCAATCTATTCAAAGGCCACCCCGAGCTGATCGTCGGGTTCAATACATTCCTGCCGCCCGGGTATAAGATTGAGGTTCAAAGTAATGGACAGGTTAGTATTGTTTTAACTTTAAATTTGTATTTAAATAAATAAATAAAAATATGTATAAATATTTTAGTAAGAAAGAAATAGTTAATATGTACATCTCTTTCTTTCTTTAATTACGTCTTGACAGTGTTGTTGTGGCTTTCATGATGGTATCTCTTCTCTATTCTCGATGAGATTATAGAGTATAGAGGTAAATATTCTCATATAAGGAATCCTCCTTGGCGACAGAGCGCCTCGCAATTTGCCATCAATTTATTTTTCTTCGAACTAATCTTTATATAGTATAATAATATCTTTACTAAAAAATACAAAAATGGTACTGAATATATCGCTGATTAAATACTAAAGGGCCACATGACTCAAAATGGTAAATTTTACAGGAGAACTCATCAAAATTTTCACTGATATTTTTTAATATTTTTACGAATATATAAGTATATCTATGTACGAATCTATAAGTGGTATATCTATGTGTTAGCTCTAAAATCATTACTGTCTTTTGTTAATATAAAAATTTAAATAGATTTACCGATTTAGGTACCATTTTTGGAAAAAAAATAGCTTGTTTTTTTGCGTTTTGGCCCTTTGGCATTTAATCAGCGAATATATGTGGCAACAAAAAGCAGCCTTATAGCAATCTCTTACAGATAACCATATAGACAATAAAATAAAGTCGCTATCTCTAAGTTTCGTTCTTTAAATCTACGCAACGGATTTTAACCCTTTGAACGTTTTGACACAGATCTGTGCACCCCTCTTAAACTTTATTACCAGTCACAGGTCTATGCCCGCAAAACCGTTACTTCTTTTTAACCAATTTTATCCTTATTTGAAACAAAATAAGATTAAAACGCATTTAAAAAAACACAACTGGCGCGCGCATACCGCCTCTTTACTTTCGGTCGCTGCCACAGACAACGGACATTCGAAAGGTTGAGGCAGTTTTCAGTGATAGTGAGTCCTTTCTGATCGATCCGCGGTCCAATTCAAACGGGTATCGTAATTTCGACGGCCTGAGCCGAGGTCCGATCCCCTAGAGGTGCCCTGTATCGTATCTGTCAATCGCCCCCTATCGTCCGGTGAAGCTGTAAAGGCCAGCTGCGGACAACAGCATTAGAGAAGTCCTAAAAAAAAAGATTAGTGAAATGGACTTCCTATAACACCTAATTCGAAACACTTATAAGTAGTGTAATATGAGTTGGTGATCTTGGTGCAGGTGTCAGTGTCGATGCCGTCCCCGACTGGGCTGGGGTCCGGCGGGGTCCTGCTGGGAGTCCACCATCCGCAGCCACAGCCGCAGCTGGTGCATCTGCTGCCCGTACCACAGTGAGTGTTTTTTTTTTATTATATGTTATGTTATATACTGTTTTAAATTTCACATGTTATATACTGTTTTAAATTTGACACAGTTTTTATTTATAAGTATAATTAAATTAATAAATCGTGATCATGTCGGTTGAAACTGCCGAAATATCGGGAACTCAATAATAAACAAATAACCCTGAACCACTAACACAGCGTCACTTAATCCCACGGTAAGCAGAGCTTGTGTTATGGGCACTAGACATCTGATATAAATACTTAGATTTTTTTTTGTAAATACATACAAAATATACACAGAAAACACCCAGAGCGATAAAAACAATCATACTCATGAATACAAATGTTTGCTCCGTGCAAGGAATCAAATCGCGACCGTCGGAAGTAAACGGTGTGCTAAGCTTATACATTATTAAGGGTCTATCTCGTCGTCCCTTTACTCCGTGTACTCGTAATTTAAAACTGATTTTCAGCCTAACAGTACGTTAATAAATATTATATATTAACGAAATAGTTATAATGAAGACATAGATAAATACAAATAAAATTATTTTTGATCATTTCAGTTTTCTGGTAAAACGCAACGCAATTGTACGCTAACAGAAATGAGTGACTGATTTCTGTATGTTATCTGTGGGAAATATATAATAAATGATTTAACTGTAGTACTAAGTAGTTCTCTGTTAGGTCTGGATTTATAATAATGTTAGGTTTATTCCAAGTATTAACTTTAAGAATGGTTTAAACCACGATCATTTAGACCACGTTTTAACAGATTTTTTGTGGTAAAACCATTAGTGTGCAAAATTTCATACTCCTCCACGCAATTTTCGTAAAAAGTGGTACTAAGTCTTTGCTTCTAGTATTAATACAATGATTATAACCACCTCTTGTGTCTCCACAGGCCTGTGAACAGCCCAATTGTTCACAACTTGACCGTGACCGCACCACCTGCCAATACACTCCATCAGATCTCACAGGCGCACCAGCAAATTGAAGCGGCAGCCATCCACCATCCACCTGGTGAGTTACCATATATATCCTAAGTAATATATCACAATTCTGTTGTAGTTTTATTATATTTGTATATAGGTAAAAGGAATAAAGACTTGGTATATGGAGAAAATATATATATATTTGGATGAACAAGAAGCTACAAAAGGAACTGTAAATTTTAAATAATTTTGAATGTGAAACATATTTCTTATTAGCCAGTTGCCATAGGTACAACTTGGTAAAGTGGGGTGCCGCTTCAAGGTAGGCTTGTGACTGCGAAGCGCCATCCCAGACTATGGCACACCTGCTGGCTTGTCCCTTGTGCCCAGCATCCTGCACAAAAGGGGACCTAAGGGATGCGACGTAGGGCGCAAGGGTTGTCGCAGCGTTCTGGGGAAAATATATTTAAATATGTGTATTTGGTTGCCGTTGAAACGAAGAAGAAGATTAGCCAGTTACAATAAATTCAAACAGCGTCATATAGTCCCAAGTAGAGCTTGTGTTATGGGTACTAGACAACTATTATTTAGATAATAAAAAATAATAATAAAATAATCCTGGACAATTCATACGGCCCAAGTTAACAACTACAGAAATACATACATGTTGAACATATAAAACATCCAGATCGTAACAAACAATACTCATGAATACAAATGTTTGTGCCGTGCAAGGAATCGAACCCGCGGCCATCGGAAGTAAGGCGGTGTACTAAACTAGTGTACTAGCTAGGTCATCGAGGCCGTCTAAATAAATCTAGACACGCGGTAGCGTGTCAAGCCGAGTTTCAAGTAAGAGAACTGGCGAGCAGCACCGTGTGTATATTTACACGAACCATTTGGAGCCACTTTTGACCCCCTCATAACTCAAAAACTCTTTCACATAAACTTGTCAAATTTGGTCCATATATTGAGACTTGCGAGATAAATATGTGTTCCAAATTTCATAAACATCTCTCAAACGGTTATTTAGATATTAACGTCCAAATATCGTCATTTTTATCACTATCACTATCTATCATATCACGTAAATAGTTTCAAGTTTACCTCTAGGATAAATTGCCTTACGTTTCATTCTCCATAATTTTGACATGATGAAATTAATTACCGATTGACACCAAATGAGAATAACAAGCGGCTGCTCTACAAGAGTTCTGATTGAACCCTACACGTCGGTTATATGTAAACACCGTCAACACGTAATAATGATAGCGATGTGTGCAGGTACAGTGCAACCGCCGGCAGGAAGCGGTCCACATCCGCCAGCGGCGCCTCCAGGGCAGCCAGTGGAGTTCAATCATGCTATTGAATATGTTAATAAGATTAAGGTATGTGATATATTTTATTTATTTATTTATTCATTTATTTCAGGCAACTAGGCCCATATACCTTATAGACTAACATACATATAATATAATATTTAAAAACTAATATAATGATATTGTCTGTATAATCACGGCACTGAAGACGGCAATCTGCCACGGTAGCGCCGATATACCACACCTTTCGGCCAGTAGTCCTCTTTCATGAATGTGGGCAGCAATAATATGTTTATGTATATATTATTGGTATGAAAGTGTGCATGACATCAGAGAGTATATACCTGATGATTGTTGACATTTTTATATTGTACTAGCTGTCCCAAATGTTGTTTTGCCATAGAAATAGAAATAGAAATAATTTTTATTCAAATAAACTTAATATAAGCACTTTTGAATACTCAAGTTTTTTTTATTCTACCGCCATATTTAATAACGCTATAAAATGTAGGGGTTGGTGAAGAGTGAAAAATTAGGGTTGTATGTATCTATTAATGTTACATAATAATAGAATAAAAATGAAAAAATTGGTCGCAAAAATGAAAAAAAAAAATTTTTTAGGCTGAGCAACTGTTGATGGAAAGACCAAAAACAAACGCGGCTACGTCCGAATTTAAATGATGATACTAATTACCGTTTGACCGAAAGTGATAATAATAAACGGCTGCTCTATTAGAGTTCTGATTTACATATATACTATTAATATATGATATAATAATACATATATTGGAGTTAAAGTTGATAATTGTATTGTACAGTCGCGGTTCTCGCGTCAACCGGACAAGTACAAGAGGTTCCTGGAGATATTACACGCGTACCAGCGTGGTCATCGTGATGTGAAGGAGCCTCAGGCGAAACAGCAGACGGAGCAAGAGGTTTACTCGCAGGTCAGTTTTTTTTGTTGTGCAAGTATTACGTAAGCACTATGGGAGGTGGGGGAATGACCCCCCCACCTTTGCTTATTTTGGATGATATGAGGGGTAGGGGGGGGGGAGTCTAGATGATGATTACGTCATCGGTAGATATTTTACTTTTTTACGCAAATGGCAACCCTCACATAGTCTGCTAAAAAAAATGACTGAAGGACTTGTATCCATGGTCATGAATAAAGCATTATTAAAAAAAACAATACATTAATCGAAAAATGTTTACGTAATCATGGGGGGAGAGCTTTGCTTACTTTTGCTGACAATGGGGATGGGGGGTAAATAATTGTAATAAATCTGCTTACGTAATACTTGAACGGCTCCGTAACTGGATGCCACTGTTGTGTAGAATTCGGTCCTCTCAGCACCTCCTCAATATAGTAAATGTTGGATTGTTCACTCCAGAGGTACTAGACATCATTGCACTGCTGCGGACTTAGTGCGTTTGGACGTGGGCATAGATCTATGAATTGAGAGACGAGGATATATATTGTGATTTAGTAACATAGTTTATAAGTTGTTGTATGACATATAAGAAAGAAAGAAAGAAAGAAAAATATTTTATTCGGTGCAATGTAAAAAATACAACATATTAATATGCATGGATATCTGAAAGTAATGAATAAAATAGAGAGTGAATTCTAATTAGGGATATGAGGGATATCCGAGGCAGACGAGTGATGAGTATTTTTATAAATTATACATTTATTATATTATGATGTTCTGATATATATCCATATATTCTTTTATAGGTTTGATAATAGAATAGGTTTTACAATAATATACTTATGCCACTTATTTATCCAATTAATTAATGAATCATACAATTGATTCATATATACCTAATAAGGTCCCTAAGTCTTTCTGTGGTTATATTTTCCAGCCCTATATACAGTCGTTTCGCTCACAGTTGGGAACATGTTGGTTAACAATTGTGTGGTCCATTGTGCAGGTGGCGAAGTTGTTTGAGAACCAAGACGATCTGCTGGCAGAGTTTGGTCAGTTCCTGCCTGATGCGAAGGCGGTGACTAAACCTCATTATCCGCCGCACGCGAGGACTCCACCATTGCTGCCGCCGCCTCCAGTAAGTGTCACAATACAGCATCTTCATTTGTTTTAGTCGTTTGGAATGAGAGACTGGATTTATGTTAGACGACTCTGAGCCAATTAGGTTTTTTTTATTGGGGGGTATGGGCTATAGTCAGGTACTTAGACTTGTAGCAATGTGATCTGGATAGGTTTATTGTGCTCGCCCTTTTTTTTCAGAGTTCGTCACCTAGACCCATCAGGGACAAGAATTGAAGGATATTCTTAGGAGCGATGGTTTTTATCTCCTCAGGATAGAGTGTAAACTTTACAAAGGGATTACGTTTATGCATGAGTGGGCTAAAACCACTTAGGATGTGTAGTGGCGTTTTCTCTTCAGTTTAGCAATTTCTGCAGATTTTTATTGTGCTCTGAGCCATAGAGCACTGAAATCAAATTAAATGTATTGCATTAAATGTGTTACATTGGGTGTGGTATTTTAAATCATAAATTTTGTTTCGCACATTTAGTCATTTCTACCATGTCTGGTGAAACTAGCACATTAGCACTCTATCTATTAAAAAAACCGCTTCAAAATTCGTTGCGTAGTTTTTAAGATTTAAGCATATATAGGGACGGACAGACAGCGACAGCGATTTTGTTTTATACTATGTAATGATACCAAATAATATTGTTTTTTACATAAATTTTGTACTACAATTATGTACCATACCACATAGTATACTAAATATTATTTAGAATATGTATATACAAAATGTCGGTTTGTCAATACAGCAACGTGCGGAGAGCGAAGTGGAACGGTTTGTGACTGCTCAGCCGCCGTCACCACCGCCGCATGCCCACCTCTCGCAGGTAAGGTCTACCATCGACAAACTCACCACTTACCATAATTTAACCTGTCAATTTTGGGTGCACTCTTACGCACGAGATAGCGCAAGTTTTAAGTCATTTAAAATTTTATTTTTTGTTCCTTAGATTCTATTTTCCAAAGACACGTTTAAAACTTGTAAATTATTAATAACTCTATAATTGTGTCTTTGACTACAGTCGGATATCCTCTATTTTGCAATATTAATTAATTATTATAAAAGGTACCGACGATTTGGTCATGATCGCTGGAAAGTATTGGTCGCGAGCAGCGCAGGATCGATCGTTGTGGAGATTTGGCCTCGCCTTTGTTCAGCAGGGACGTCTTCTGGGCTGAAATGATGATGATGATGATGAAATAAAAAGGGAATGAAGCGAGTTAGCGGCGCGCGCAGTATTCTCGTACTTTTATGTACATTTACATGCACATTCATTGAATTAAAGAGTATACGTGTCAAGACAGCTAATGTTCATAATATAGGAGTTGATATATGACTAAAGGAATTAACATTGTCAGCAGATACCCAAGCACACAAGTGCGGTGTCCAGCAACGTGGTGACACCGCCCACGCAGCATCATCATCTGAAGAGATCACCCAGTTTCACATCGTCCAGTCAGATACGTAAGTGTCAATTTAATGTTTCAATATGTCACATATAAAATTTCACTTTTAGTTTATTTTTTGAGATGTATAGAAGAAAGTCTTATGTCCTCGTTATATAAAAGTTCATTACGATCTGTTCAGCTGTTTAGTCATGTATTTATATTTATTTATTTATTCATGAAGAATGTACATTGTATTTGAATATTGATATGATGGTTGATATATAATAAATTTACAAATTATCATAAGAATGTCATTAATAATAAAAATCGTCAATTGAGTACAGGTGTTTCTCTATAAGCGACAAACAGACAGACACTTTAAATTTATAATATTATAGAGATGGCTGTAGCACACTGCGCAGCTTGACAATTCCTCTGACTACCCCATTCTAAGTAACAGTCGTTACGGTATGTTTTGTACATGTTTAATTATGTATTAGAAAAAAAATGAATTATCTAGTACCCATAACACAAGCTATACTTGCCTGAGATCATTTTTTAAATGCTTTATAATGGAATGGTGTCTGCCTGCGCAAAGAATTTACGCTGGCGGTGGACCAGTGGAGCAGGATAAGATTGGTATGATATAGGTCAGTAGCCCATTGTGACAAATTCACCGGAAAATCTGATGGTTTCGAGAGGAAACCTCATGGAGGTCAAACTGATATGGTACAATGCTAATAACGGGTTAATTACTCATTACTACACTTGTTTATGTATGTATTGTTGATCGCACATTACTAACATTCCCCTTTCTCCCGAAGCCGTGGTGGCAAATTCACCATTAATTTATCATGATGGCTTCCAGAGGGAACTGCCTGGACTTCAACCTGACATAGTACATCGCTAGCAATGGGGTTATGAATCCACATTAGTAACAATCCCATTCCCTTATACCTTGGGACTAGATCGCGTGTGATTTGTCCAGGGTAATTATTATAACATATTGAATGTCGACAACAGCATCCGGCCCACCTGCCAAGAAGAGTCGCATATCGTCAGGCGGCGTGATGGGCCCCGCGACGGCGGCGGCGGCGGGCGGGCCCCCGCCGGGCCCCGGGGGGGTCGCGGGCGGCGCGGCGGGGGGTCGCGACGTGTCGCTGGCGGAGGCCTCCAAGCTGGCCACGCTGCACGAGTTCAACTTCTTCGATCGGGCGAGGAAAGCGCTTCGCTCGCAGCGTGTCTACGATAACTTCCTCAGGTAAATTGTGTATTCTAGCAGACCCGGCCACGCGTTGCTGTGGCTAATGATAGACAAATAATATTGCGACTATAAATTGAGATGCTATCCTATCTTTCAAGTTGGATCAAATTACACACAATGTTAAAATCAAATTTGAAATCGGTTCAGTAGTTTAGGAGTCCATCGCAGACAAACAACGTGACACATAATTTTTATATGTATGTTTGTCTAGTTAGAACAATTTATAGCTCTACTCTGAAGGTTAATGAACTATTGCTGCTACTAAGATGTTGTCATATACGAATTTCAAATGTTATAGTAAATCAATATTTTAGATTTAAAAGTGATTAGGTTTTTTATGTATATAGTTTTGAGTTTTATGTCTTGACCAGGCTTGATCTCACTACCTAGACCCTAGAAACCTAGACGCATTCAGGAAGAATTTATTTATTCGTTTACTAAGATAACCCTATTTATATAATTACGGCGAAAAAACATATAAGTTAAACTATTTAAAGTTAGGATCTGTAAAAATATAAATTAAAATAATTATCTATTAGAAATAATAAATCAATTGTTCTAATATAACAGATGCCTCCTACTCTTCACAAATGAGATAATCTCATCCTCGGAGCTGCTGTGCGTGACGAACCCGTTCCTCCGCCGGCACCCCGAGCTACAGAAGTGGCTCCAGGACTTCGTGGGGCTGTCATCGCCTCCACATACACCTACTAACACTGGAATTCATGTTGGTTAGTATGTCTAATTATCTAGGTTTTTTATTTTATGATTTTGATAATGGAATGGTATATAATGTTGTAGTATCGGACTATTTAAAAATAGGTTAAGTATTCAGGTTTTTAAGGGATGATTATGGAATGGTGCTTGTTAAATACCCCCCATGTTAGTGAAGAATGATAGGATAAGTATGAAGTCAGGTTATTTAGTTCATATTGGTGGATTCTACAGCTTTTTTCAATATTAATTCTCAGATAATATGTTGCGCTAATGGTTTACGTTGGCGGGACACCAGTTGAGAATGATTAAATGAGCATGAGGTCAGATCAGTTAGTACATAGTGGAAATATCACCAGAAATTTGACACAATGGAACACAACACTACCCCTGGAAACATTCATGGGATAGTTCATGGAGATCCATGAATGTTATACATTGCTGGCAATCGGATTTATAATCTACATTGCTGATAGTTCCCTTCCCTTTGATTATATAAAATAAGTTAGTAGTTTCCAGGTAGATAGTGTGGAGGGCGATCTGACGGGTACATTTTTAGCAATAGGGCCTTTACTTCCCAATACCATTCCCTTTTCTGTCATGGTGATTGTATGTTGTGATGCAGGTTACGGCAGCAACCCATCGGGTCTGCTGAGCTACGGGCGTGGGTCGCTGACGGGCGCGCCGGGCGGAGCCCCCGGAGCCCCCGGAGCCCCCGGAGCCCCCGACAAGCTGCGGCTGGAGCCCATCGGGCCGCTCGGGGCGCAGCTGCGGCACGACCGCCCCCAGGGAGACGCCGCCATGGATATCGGTCAGTTATATATACGCTACTATTTTTGTCATGGTTGATAATTATATAGTGCACCCGCTTGCGCTAATGGTATACGCTGGCGGGGCACCAGTGGAGGATGATAAGATGAGCGTGAGGTCAAGTCAGGTCAGTTATCCCATCGTGGCAAATTGACCATGAATTTAACACGGTTTGCTTGTAATGGTTTAATTACTACACATTACTAACAAAGTTTATGTTGTAAAACAGCCATACCTATTTAGTATCTTAAACTGGAAAGTAAATATGTCTGTTTGTTACCTTGTCATGGCTTTATGAATATTAATGACGCTTGACATACTATATTTTGAGGTAGATTATAATTTAAGGATGGAAGTGAGGCTATATTTTCTAACAATGCTGAAGTAATATAGTAAAATAGTGGAATAATTCATGAATCTAAATAATATTAGCTTTTGTTTTATTGAGTGTTTGTTTAAAAAGTACTTACTTACATGGACATTCGACATAAATAAAATAAGAATGGCCCTGAAACGGACTTCTATATGTCTTGACATCTATTTTTGTTTAACTCTCTATTTTATTTATATATGTGATATGTTATGTTTGACTGTTCCTCTCAACAGATCTGTCGACGTGCAAGCGTCTAGGCACCTCGTACTGCGCACTACCGAGAGATGCAGCCGCCCGGCGCTGCTCTGGACGCACCGCGCTCTGCAAAGAGGTATGAAATCATCATTATCATCTTATCATCACATATATATTTAAATTATCTTAATCTAATATTATAAACGTAAATGTTTGTGAGTATGGATGGATGTTTGTTACTCTTTCACGCAAAAATTACTAAATAGATATTGATAAAACTTTCCAGTAATATAGCTTATGCATCAGAATAACACATATGCTATAATTCAATAAGCGATATTGTGAATTGGACAAAATAATTGATAAATGTCATGTAAGTGTAATGCAGACGACGTTGCGCAGGTCATCTAGTAAATCATAATTCAATCGTATATATATTATTAATGTTTTTATTTTGTTCTGTAGGTATTGAATGATACATGGGTGTCATTCCCGACGTGGAGTGAGGATTCCACATTCGTGACGTCGAGGAAGACGCAGTACGAAGAGTATATATACCGCTGTGAAGATGAGAGGTTTGAGGTAATATTATCAGCTTGTTTATATTTTGTATTTAAAAAAAAAACGTAATGCAAATACATTAATGTTTACGGTATTTTTATTGTCGAGTAGCTGATGTAATAAAGAGTAACTTGGCTACTGTTATTTTAGAAAAAGAAATTTAAATTCCACGCGGACGAAGTCGCTTGTACAGGTAGTTTAAAATAAATATACTTTCGTATTTAACACACTGCTCTATTACGCGCAGTAATTCCGCCTCGTGTGTTATTGTAACCATGATAATGCACTTATATTGCAATATATAGAATATTTGATATATTCTATATATTACGATATACACTTATATCGTAATATGAATATTTTCATAATAATGCAATATGTAATAACACCAACATGGTTTCCAGCTGGACGTGGTGATCGAGACGAACGCATCCACCATCCGCGTGCTCGAGGGTGTCCAGAAGAAGCTCTCCCGCATGAGCCCCGAGGACGCGGCCAAGTACCGCCTGGACGACTGCCTCGGTGGTCACTCGCCCACCATCCACCAGCGCGCGCTGCGCAGGATCTACGGTGACAAGGTGGTACGGTCGCGCCGGACTCTACGCATGCCGCATCCTCCTCTCTTCTCCATCCCTCTCCTCTTTATACTCCTCTCTCCTCACTCTTGAAACTCTCGTTCGTGTCTGATATTCGATAAAATTTCGTTAAGAATTGACATTGTAAATGGTGGAGAGGAGTCTCTCTCCTCGCTCTTGAGAATCTTGTTTCTCTCTTAGACAACCAATGAAATGTGATTAAGAATTTACTAGTTGAGTAAAGTCGTTCACAGAAGAAAAAAATTGCTGTTAAGTTATTCATTTTGAATGTTGTAATAATTTAGCCATCATCGCACGAATATTTATAAAGATATTGCTTTGTGCGAGGAATCGAACCGGCGACAAGTTATTTGCCATTTCCAATAGATAAAAAAGAGTTTTAGCAATATCTCTTCTCTCGTATGTCTACTATTCTCTTCCTTTCCTCTCCCATCCTTTAGTAAAACCGAAAGCACAAGTAGAACATAGAAATATATAGCATGCAACGTCTTTGAGGCTCGATTTTATATACTTTTAATTTTATTTATATATGTTTTATTTTTATATTTAGCTTTATATACTTTGCGTTATATTTATATATTATATATGAAGCTTTAATAGCTGATTGTGGGGTGTTACATTACCAAATATATGATATAATACCCTCATTAACACTGAATAGTAAAGAACAGATACTATTTTATGTGTATATGCATTCATCTCTAGGTGAAAGTTATTTAAAACTAGCTGTGCCCACGCTTTCACCATTACAATGGACCGTAACAAACAAACATAAATAAAATCTTAACTCTTTACAGTATTAGTACATGTGTTTGATAATGTAATGCCTTCCTGTAAAACTGACAATGATGGCAGGTTCAGTTCCCGTACAATACAAATTTGTATTCATATATTTATATTTGTATCGGTCTGGGTGTATTTTGTATAATATATATATGTATTATCTGTAGTTATAGGTATATGTATAAATGTATAAGAAATAACAAATAATTAATGAAATGATATGGACTAGAAAATGAGTTGAGAAAATAGTCTTCAATCACCTGAACAGTTCATTAGTTGTAGCGTTAGTAGCTATTCAAATGACGAAAAAATCTCATCAAAATCGGTCCTTTCTTGGTGAGACGAACTCGTTGAGGTCAACCTAACATGGTAATGTACCGTAGTAGCTATTCAAATGACGAAAAAATCTCATCAAAATCGGTCCTTTCTTGGTGAGACGAACTCGTTGAGGTCAACCTAACATGGTACGTTACCATGTTAGGTTGACCTTAATGGGTTAGGAATGGGGTCCAAGTCTCCATTACTATCAATTCCCATCCCCAATTCATGTATATTGGCGACGGTTGCCACATGCCATCAGATGGATTGTCAGCTTTTTGATATTCCAAATATATAAGGATTTAATTAATGTGAATTAAAATCTGAACTAACGAACCCTGTTTATTAATAACCAAACTCCAGTCCAAACTTGTAACCTATTACTTCGACAGGCGGTGGACATCATCGCTGGACTCAAGAAGAATCCAGTAGTGGCCGTGCCGGTCGTCCTGAGACGGCTGAAGGCCAAGGAAGAAGAGTGGAGAGAAGCGCAGAAGGTAAAACTACGTTTATACTGAATAATATTACAAATGTTAAAGAGTCTTTGTTACGTTTTCGCATCGAAACTTTTGAATCGGTTATGATAAATTTTAGTAAAGAAATAGAATGAATACAAGAGACAGAAATGGGTTAAACACTGTTTTGAATTTTTGTCATGATTGTTTATGTTTACTATTGTATACAAATTAATCACATAAAACTATCTTTATTCATGTAAATCTATTACAAAATCTTTATATTAAATGTATCGTCAGTTAGGAGTGTTTTCGAGCTAAGAACTGTCAAGAAACTCGAAAATTCAATTAGAGTGTAGTGATCACCAGTATATGCAATTACATTATTGTCAAAATGCACCTCTGAACTGAAGAAGGTATCTCTTGCCAACATACATCAACTCTCACCATAACCCCTCGTGGTGCTCAGATAAATATGGTAGGAGCCTGCTAGTGTAGGTTCAGATACAAGTGAAGGTTTATTATTAATAGTGATACAATTATTTTCACAGGGCTTCAACAAACAATGGCGTGAGCAAAACGAGAAGTACTACCTGAAGTCGTTAGATCACCAGGGTATCAATTTCAAGCAGAACGATCTGAAGGCCATGCGCTCCAAGTCTTTGTTCAACGAGGTGGAAAGCGCGTACGCAGCCAGGAGGCCTGGTCCTCATCTAGAGGTGGACTACAATATGCAGAGCCGGCAAGAAGGTAAGATTCACAATGGGATAGTAGAAATATGTATGTGCATTGGTGAACTGACTTTTGGAGCAAGATTGTAAACTATCTTGGTTGATAAACTGTCCAAATATAAAATTTTAATCTTAATTCTAACTTATTATACCATAAACAAATTTAAATTAAATAATGATTTATTTTGTAGGACATTTTTGTCAATTATGCATTTTTTTTGTTTTTGTTCCTTACGTCCAGTTCCATTAAAGTTACTACTAAGTTTAATTGAATTTGGTTATTTTTATTTATTCATTAATTAGTACTAACCCCATAAAGAACAAAAATGTTGAGAGAAGGGGGGTCGTAAATTTTATGACGTCAGATTATTTTGAACAGTTAACAATTTATCGATAGGTTACAATCTCGCGAAATGGATTATAATATAATAGAGTTTACAATCTTACGGTGATATTACATAAGGTTTAATTTTAATCGTACAAACGGAGACAATGATGAGAGCCATGCGATGTCGTGTGACAGACTGTCAGTGTTGAATACACGCATGCTGCCTTCCTACTGACGTCTCTATTATATTATACTAGTTACTCGCCCCGGCTTCGCCCGGGTGTACATGTATTATATATAAACCTTCCTCTAGAATCACTATCTATTTAAAAAAAATCGCTTCCAAATCCGTTGCGTAGTTTTCAACATTTAAGCGTACATAGGGACGGACAGACAGCGACAGCGACTTTGTTTTATACTATGTAATGATGATTCAGAGGTAACAAATATAAAAATATATCTTTATTGGAAATTAGGAAAGAAATGTTTATTTATGATATTGAATGTAATATTGTATACATTTCTCTACATGATAACAATGATTTCCACAGCAATAAAAATAGTACGGGATACAGCAGAGCTGCTGATCCATCACGCCAGGCGGCAGACGGCGATCCAGAAGGCGGAGAAGCGACGCATCAAGCAGTTGCTGAGGAGGTTCCTGCCAGACCTGTTCTCGCACCCCAGGCAACCGCTGTCTGATGATGAGAGAGATGAAGGTAAGGCCACAGGGATATATCAATGTGGTTTGAAGTTTTGAATCGACATTTTTATATTCTAATGTAAGTTTAAGAGACGGGTTTTAAATTTCATGACATCAGATCATTTTGAATAGTTTACTATTTATCGATAGGTTACAATCACGCAAAACGGATTATAGAATAACAGGTTACAATCTTACGGTGCTATTACATACGGTTTAATTTTATTTGTACAAATGGAGATAATGATGAGAGCCATGCGATGTCGTGTGACAGACTGTCAGTGTTGAACACACGCATGCTGCCTTCCTACTGACGTCTCTATCGCCTCACACACTACATCACTACACTATAATACAGAGAAATTAATAGAATATTCTGTAATAGTCGGTGAATCTTACTAAGATTATTAACGCGGAAGTTTGTGAGTATAGATGGATAGAAATATGTTAATCTTCCATGCAAAAACTACTGAATGGATTTGAATGAAACTACCATAATATAGTTAATAAACACGAAAGTTTAAACTTTCGTGTTTAATATACATTATTTGAATTATTAACCGGGTCTTAACACGAATAATTTTATGGCAAATAAAGGTATTTACCTCTCGACGTTGCACTAGCCGTGGTCACAGCTGACTGTCTCTGACCACTTGTGACCACGGCCAGTGCAACCTAGTCGAAACGTCGAGAGAGGTAAATACCTTTTTACCATAATATAGCTTATATCAGAGTAACATAGGCTACAAATTTCACGCAGATGAACCCGCGGGAATGGCTAGTATATCTTATATATAAAATTCTCGTGTCACAGTTTTCGTTCCCATACTCTTCCGAAACGGCTTGACCGATTCACATGAAATTTTGTGAGCATATTGAGTAGGTCTGGGAATCGGCCGACATCTATTTTTCATCCCCCTAAATGTTAGGGGTAGTCCAACCCTATTTTTTTTTTATTTTAAGGCAAAACAACGTTTGCCGGGACAGCTAGTAACATTATAACTTTATAATTGTACGTACTTTTTTTAATATATATCTATATAAATATACTAAAACAGCGTTTGTTTGTGTCCAGAAGACAAGGACGAGCCAGGGAGCCCAGATAGTCCGTCCGGTGATCAGGCGCCACAGGACGAGAAGGGCGTATCTAACGTGAAAAATGAAAAGCAAGAGGTGAGATAAATATACACTTTATCTTTGTATACATACATGAACATGGGCACACTGAAATGTACAATAAAAATTAGAGTGTATAAGAAAATAATTAAAATAGGTTCAGTTACATAAAAAGTAGTGAGGTAATGCATTAAATGAATTGTTTAATTGTGAGAAGCTTCTGTTTTTTGGAGTCAGAATTTTTTGTTTCCTAGGCGAAATTATGAATATCTAGAGAGATGAAACAAAATTTCTTTTTTTTGTTTAAATAATGTTATGTTACTGTACTCCTTATTAATGTTTATTAACAATTTTTTGTATACATGTAAAGTTTATATTTAAATAGAACACAACAACGATATGTTGTTGTGTTCTATTGTTAAAATGTTTATCCAATGATATATATATTTTTTACGACATATATTTACAACAATATTTGCCATGCTCAACGGCATTGTGGAATTTCTGAACCGATACGGTGTTGAAACCTTCAAGAACTGTATGGTAGATGGCGCTGGTCTGCTAGTTTTGTATATATGTAATTACAAGAATCGAACCTTGTTCCCAGCAGTCGTCGGAGTCAGACAACGCATCGGATAAGAGTAGCAGGAACAACAAGAATGATAAGGAGAACAAACCTAAGAATAACAATAATACAGACAGTAAAGGTAAGGTTTTATATGTATCAAATGATTTTTAATGTTGTTCAGAGTAACGGCTGCTGGTGGTGCACCATTGGAAGGTGATAAGATGAGCATGAGGTCAGGTCTGTTAGACCATCGTGACAAAGTCATCAGTTAGCCCATCGTGATTTTACCAGGAATTTATCACAATGGTTTTTAAGAACCGTGTGGAGGTCCACCTGACATGGTACATTGTTCGCAATGGGATCACCCCAAGGCAAGGTTTAATGTATATCAAATGACTTGATGCCGTTCAGAGAAACGGCTGCTGATGGGGCACTATTGGAAGGTGATAAGATGAGCATGAGGTCAGGTTAGTTAGGCCGTCATAACAAATTCACCAGGAATTTTTCACGGTTTTCGATGGTGTCCAGTAGGAACAGCGTGGAGGGCAATCTGACATGGTACATTGCTAACAATGGGGTTATTAGTCCACATTACAAACAATACTCTACTCCCCACTGTACTTTAAATTTTCTGAAATAAAAGTTATTCTTGATAAGATTAGCATGAGGTCAGGTCAGTTAGCCCAACGTGACAAATTCACGAGGAATTTATCACAATGGTTTCTAGCGGAACCGCGTGGAGGTCAACCTGACATGATACATTGCTAGCAATCAAACGCAAACCCATCTTACTAATATTATAAATGCGAAAGTTCGTGAATATGGATGGATGATTGTTACTCTTTCACGCAAAAACTACTGAACGGATTTAGATTTTACAGAATAACATATAGGCTATAATTTTAAAGGATATTATGTAAATTGGGCGATATATAATGATAAGTGTGATGCAGACGAAGTCGCGCCAGTAGCTAACCAGTTTATAAAAAAGCAGCAGTCGTTTAAGTATCATTACATAGTATAAAATAAAGTCGCTGTCTGTCCATCTCTATGTATGCTTAAATCTTTAAAACTACGCAACGGATTTTGAAGCGGATTTTTTAATAGATAAAGTGATTCAAGAGGAAGGTTTGTATGTATAATACATGTACACCCGTGCGAAGCCGGGGTGAGTAGCTAGTAATGGATAAATCAATATCCTAAATGTTTGGGAAACTACTCTGCTACCAAAATGTTAGGAAAAGTACTATGTATATATATAGTGAAAAATGAGTGGAAGCGTCAGTTTCGTACCTGTATGGTTCTGCGGATTTCTTGGGCTTCAGGGTCTCGAAGGTATCTTCGCTAGCTTTCCAGTTTCACAGTAGGTTTCACAGTTCTAATTTATTTTAATTCACAACACAATGCGCGCGCGTCATGGCCGCCGTACAGTCGGTTCAGTACTAGGTAAGGGAGGGGAAGGAAAGACGCGGGAACACAAACTAACGGACTCTAATATAATAATCTGTGCTTACGATGTTACAGGGTAGATTTTGAACACTAAAAAAATATGTTTTTGTTTACAGACACCAACGCGCCGAATAGTGTGAAACGGAACAGCAGCAACGAGGACTCGGTGAAGTTGGACATCAAAATGGAACAGGACGAGGACGATTACAGAGATCATCCGTCTAATGTAAGTTGTTTACTAGTTGTACACCGCGGCGTTCTTCGCTCGGGGTAGTCTATTTTACTTGCTGACAATGTTGGTTGTAAGTGTAAGGATGTTGAAAATATACCAAGAATTATAGGGTTGTATGTAGTTACGAAGAATAAAAAATAACGTCTTTATATTTTTTTTTATGGATACAGTTTTTAATATATCAATTACAAGTAATATAGAGGTAGGTAATTCAAATAGAGCATTAAAATACAAGAGCGCATAGATCGTGTATAAATATTGATGCTTACCATCCGTGCAGATGATGTCCCAAATGTCTTGCAAAAAATATATAATTTATAAAAATTACACGGAAACATCAATGCGGTCCACCATCATCTCGAGACCGGCAAGCCGACCCTTCTGTTCCTTACGGAGACACAGATATCCTGTCCGGCTGATACTTCGTACCTTACGTATTCCGGGTATACACTTGAGCACAAATTTGTGCGTCGAGCTTATGAGGGGGTATGTTTTTTGTATGTCCGGGAGGATATTTGCTGTCGCCGCCTTCTTGGCCTAGAAAAAAAAGACCTGTCATATACTATGGGTACGCGTAGATCAGGGTGAGTACACCGGTATCTACGCGTGCCTATACAGGTCTCATAGCGGTGACGAGGACACGACTCGTCTGTTTGAGCACCTCAAATCACGTCTGTTAAAGTTCTTGAGCAATATTCCTCCGCGAATTTAGTGATACTTGGAGACTTTAATGCCCATCACACCGAGTGGCTCCGTTCTCGAATCACTGACCATGCGGGGAGAACTGCTCACGAGTTTGCCCTGGCCTATGGATTCTCATAACTGAGTTCATTCTCCAACGAGAATACCAGCTATCGAGACCCATACGAGCTTCTTACTGGACCTTCTGCTGACTACAGGTTCGGACGAATATTCAGTCACCGTGGAAGCGCCTCTTGGTCCTTCGGATCACTGTCTTATTCGATCCCAAGTACAGTGCACACAACCTGCCACACACCGAACACCTGGTCGACGTCGCATGTGGCATTATAAGTCGGCAGATTGGGACAGATTGCGAGAATTTTACGCGTCGTACCCATGGTAGCAGCCCTGCTTTGCATCAGAAGACGTCGATACCTGTACAGCCGCCGTTACTGAAGTCATACTTGCGGGTATGGAATGTTTCATTCCAAATCTGCTAGTTGCTTCAGGGGCGAAAAACGACCGTGGTTTAATAGGTCATGCAGAGAAGCCAGACAGGCTAAAGAAACTGCTTATCAGGCTTGGACCACGGCTCGTTCCAACAGGGATGTTGGCGTATCTGATGCGAGACGGAATTTAAATGCTGCGTCCAGGTTTAGTAAGAGAGTAATTCCTAGAGCCAAATTGGGGAGCGACTAGCCCGTCATCCTTCTGGAAGTCGAGCCTTTTGGTCCCTAGCTAAGGCTGCCGAAGGTAACTTTAGTCAGTCGTCCTTACCACCACTACGGAAGCCGAATGATAACTTGGCACATAGTGCAGAGAAGGCCGATTTGTTATGCGCTCTTTTTGCCTCAAATTCGACTTTACTTTTCGACGCTGGGGACACTATACCTACTACCATCCCATGGTGTGGTAACTCTATGCCGGAAATATCCGTAACACAACGGAGTGTCCGGCGAGAGTTGCTGTCTCTCGACGTCAACAAGTCGAACGGGCCAGACGGCATACCGGCTTTGGTGCTAAAGAAGTGTGCTCCTGAGTTGTGTCCCGTACTCACGCGCCTCTTCGCGCTTTCATACTCCTCTGGGTAATTTCCGTCGTCATGGAAGACCACCCTTGTGCACCCTGTGCCAAAAAAGGGCGACAGGTCAAACCCATCGAACTACAGGCCTATCGCTATCGCATCTTTGCTCTCCAAGGTGATGGAGCGTGTAATTAATACACAGCTCCTATGGCTTTCGCCATAATCGCTCAACTGGTGATCTTTTAGTGTATCTCACACACCGCTGGGCTCTTGCCATCGAGAGCAAGGGCGTTGGCAGTCAGCCTTGATATGGCGAAGGCATTCGATCGAGTTTGGCATCAAGGTCTTCTATCGAAATTGCCCTCATACGGAATACCAGAGGGATTATGCAAATGGGTCGCTAGTTTTTTGTCTGGCAGATGCATCAAAACCGTGGTCGACGGTTTGCTCCGATAGCATGGACATTAACGCTGGCGTCCCGCAAGGCTCTGTTCTCTCCCCGACACTGTTTTTGCTGCATATTAATGATTTGTTAACTACGGTTGACATTCATTGCTATGCGGATGACAGTACTGGGGACGCGTCTTACACGGGCCGCGCGAACATTCCTCTTTCCGTTGTGGAGTCAAACCACGAACATCTTGTGTCTGAAATCGAGAGTCGATTGGGGGCGATTGAACTTAGTTCAATTCAACCCTACCAGGACACAAGTCTGCGCGTTCACCGCTAAGAAAACCCCTTTTGCTGTGGCTCCGCAATTCCAGAACACCAGTCCAGTCCATTACCATCTCTAAGAGCATTGGGATTCTCGGTGTCGACATGTCTAGCACAGTTGAGTTCCGTAGTCACCTCGAAGAAAAGGTCAAGCTGGCGTCCAAAAAGCTCGGTGTGCTGAATAGAGCGAAGCGGTACTTCACTGCGAACCAGAGAGTTCTATTGTATAAGTCGCAAGTTCGGCCGCACATGGAGTACTGCTCTCATCTTTGGGCAGGAGCACCTGGATACCAGCTCGGTCCTTTTGACTCGGTTCAAAGACGTGCTATGAGAATTGTCGATGATCCCAATCTCTCTAACGGTATCGAACCACTTAGCTTGAGGCGAGACTTCGCATCGCTTTGTGTGTTCTACCGATTATACAACGGACTGTGTTCTGATGAATTGTTTGATATGATGTCTATGGCTACCTTTTATCATCGTACCGCTCGCCATCGACAGGGAATTCATCCCCACACGCTGGAACCTAAGTGGTTTCGGACAGTGCGGTTTCAGAGGAGCTTTCTCTCGCGTACACTTAGATTGTGGAATGAAATACCTGCCGAGGTTTTTTCGAGAGACTACAGCATGGGGTTTTCAAGAAGGGTATATTAAGGTTTCTTAAGGGTCGGCAACGAGTATGTGACACCCATGGTGTTTCAGGCGTCCATAGGCTACGGTAACCGTTTATCATCAGATGGGCCGTGCTTGTTTGCCATCTAAGTGGCATATAAAAATAAAATATAGAAAACATCTAGACCGATACAAACAATCATACTCATGAATACTAATATTTGTGCCATGCGAGGAATCGAATCCGCGACCGTCGGACGTAGAGCGGCGTGCTAGACCGCTAGACTCACCGAGGTCGTCAAATAACAGATAATCCGCGGAGGGATATCGGTGAGTAATGTGATGAACGTTGTGTGTGTGCGGCAGGAGGCCCGGTTCGTGTGCACGGCGCCGTGGTACCTGTTCCTGAGGCTGCACGCGGCCGTGTGCCAGCGGCTGGCGGGCGCGAGGCGGGCCGCCGCGCTGCTGGCCCGCCAGCACGCCGCCGACGGACGCGCCGCGCGCCCGGCCGTCGCACACGCGCTCCGCCTCAAGCCCAACAGTCAGTGACACTTACATATATATATATATCACACCGCCGCGCTGCTGGCCCGCCAGCACGCCGCCGACGGACGCGCCGCGCGCCCGGCCGTCGCACACGCGCTCCGCCTCAAGCCCAACAGTCAGTGACACTTACATATATATATATATCACACCGCCGCGCTGCTGGCCCGCCAGCACGCCGCCGACGGACGCGCCGCGCGCCCGGCCGTCGCACACGCGCTCCGCCTCAAGCCCAACAGTCAGTGACACTTACATATATATATATATCACACCGCCGCGCTGCTGGCCCGCCAGCACGCCGCCGACGGACGCGCCGCGCGCCCGGCCGTCGCACACGCGCTCCGCCTCAAGCCCAACAGTCAGTGACACTTACATATATATATATATCACACCGCCGCGCTGCTGGCCCGCCAGCACGCCGCCGACGGACGCGCCGCGCGCCCGGCCGTCGCACACGCGCTCCGCCTCAAGCCCAACAGTCAGTGACACTTACATATATATATATATCACACCGCCGCGCTGCTGGCCCGCCAGCACGCCGCCGACGGACGCGCCGCGCGCCCGGCCGTCGCACACGCGCTCCGCCTCAAGCCCAACAGTCAGTGACACTTACATATATATATATATCACACCGCCGCGCTGCTGGCCCGCCAGCACGCCGCCGACGGACGCGCCGCGCGCCCGGCCGTCGCACACGCGCTCCGCCTCAAGCCCAACAGTCAGTGACACTTACATATATATATATATCACACCGCCGCGCTGCTGGCCCGCCAGCACGCCGCCGACGGACGCGCCGCGCGCCCGGCCGTCGCACACGCGCTCCGCCTCAAGCCCAACAGTCAGTGACACTTACATATATATATATATCACACCGCCGCGCTGCTGGCCCGCCAGCACGCCGCCGACGGACGCGCCGCGCGCCCGGCCGTCGCACACGCGCTCCGCCTCAAGCCCAACAGTCAGTGACACTTACATATATATATATATCACACCGCCGCGCTGCTGGCCCGCCAGCACGCCGCCGACGGACGCGCCGCGCGCCCGGCCGTCGCACACGCGCTCCGCCTCAAGCCCAACAGTCAGTGACACTTACATATATATATATATCACACCGCCGCGCTGCTGGCCCGCCAGCACGCCGCCGACGGACGCGCCGCGCGCCCGGCCGTCGCACACGCGCTCCGCCTCAAGCCCAACAGTCAGTGACACTTACATATATATATATATCACACCGCCGCGCTGCTGGCCCGCCAGCACGCCGCCGACGGACGCGCCGCGCGCCCGGCCGTCGCACACGCGCTCCGCCTCAAGCCCAACAGTCAGTGACACTTACATATATATATATATCACACCGCCGCGCTGCTGGCCCGCCAGCACGCCGCCGACGGACGCGCCGCGCGCCCGGCCGTCGCACACGCGCTCCGCCTCAAGCCCAACAGTCAGTGACACTTACATATATATATATATCACACCGCCGCGCTGCTGGCCCGCCAGCACGCCGCCGACGGACGCGCCGCGCGCCCGGCCGTCGCACACGCGCTCCGCCTCAAGCCCAACAGTCAGTGACACTTACATATATATATATATCACACCGCCGCGCTGCTGGCCCGCCAGCACGCCGCCGACGGACGCGCCGCGCGCCCGGCCGTCGCACACGCGCTCCGCCTCAAGCCCAACAGTCAGTGACACTTACATATATATATATATATATATATATATATATATATCACTAGCTATTTATACCCTTAGGGGTGGAATTTATCAAAATCCTTTCTTAGGCGATGTCTACGTCATAGTAGATTTATGCATGCGAAATCTCAGCCCGATCGGTTTAAAAAAGGTTTGACAAAGTTTCATATAAACTTTCATCCCCTATTTTATACCCTTGGAGGTAGAATTAATCAAAATCCTTTCTTAGCGGATGCCTACGTCATAACATCTACCTGCATGCCAAATTTCATACCGATCCGTCCAGTGGTTTTTTGGGCTGTGCGTTTATAGATCACTATGTCAGTCACCTTTGAGTTATATACATATAAATGATTTTTGAGTTATATACATTGAAATTTCATATGTTCCCTAACAATGACTAACATTGTTAGGGAACATATGAAATATAGAACCATCTGTGTCGTACCCGTATGCTCCTGATACAGTTTCCTGGACTCCTTAACACGAGCCAGCGTCCAAATGATATTTTAACTAGTTTTCACATATTTTTGCACTCAATTTGTAATAAAATGTTTAGACCCGGCCGACTCTTGGCCCGGTCTACTAGTATAATAATAAATATCAAGTGTGATGTAGACAAAACTGCGTGAATCTGCTAGTAAAAACATAAATCAGCATCTGTAACTTTATTCTCCTCTCTCCAGATCTGCCAGCTGATGCGTCATCACCATCAGAATATTACAACGCTCTGCTGGAGCTGGTGAAGGGAGTCCTCGACGGGAACATTGACTCCGCGGCATATGAGGACGCTGCCAGGGAGATGCTGGGCATCAAAGCTTACCCGGCGTACACGCTCGACAAACTCGTCTCCATAGCCGTCAGACAGGTTAGTACGTAATAGAAGTGGCATACGGCCAGCCAGATGAACACTTGGTTTAGTAATACTTGGTTAATAAAAGTTGCAACTGTAGAGATAATCTAAGATGATAAGACACTTTGAACATTTCTTTTTATTTTATATTACAAACGTCTTAGACAAACATACTATAACAAGTGTTCAACTGCGATTATCAGAAACCATTAGGCTGGCCGTATGTTTGATTATTAATGTTATTGTTTGAGATAAACATGATTATATGTTACTTTTTAGCTAGAAATGTTTATAAATTGTATATGTATGGAGACAATGATGAGAGCCATGCGATGTCGTGTGACAGACTGTCAGTGTTGAACACACGCATGCTGCCTTCCTACTGACGTCTCATAACATGATTATTATCCTATAAAAATTATTTGAATGATTTTTTGAAACTATCAGTACTGCTTTAAAAAAGATTATTACAAAACTAAAGAGTTTATAAATGATAATAATGTTTTTGTAGAAAATACTTAGAATTCATAGCGCTGACGATTATATCTGATTGCACTAAGAATGAGTGTGTAGCGGCTTCTATCTTGATTAATGCTACACCTTTCACTTGTTATTGTGTATTTATTTATTTAAAATAACATTTATTCAAAAGACAAGCAGTTCTTTTTGTAATGGTTCAGCGTTCCGAATGAGTGGTAAAATAAAAAAAATATATAACTATACTCAAGAATTTATTACGATAGATTTTACGGGGGACCCGCATGGTATTTTTATACCGATGCGTCTATCAGTCCATTTTATTAATAATTCTTTTGACCCTTATATCTATAGTGTGTACATCGCACCCTCGCGAATCGCCAGTTTGCCAATATAAATAACATATATATAAGTGTATGTGTGTATCGTCCGTCAGTTGCAGCAGTGCGCGTCTGAGCCGTGGTCGGTGCGGGCCGCAGAGCTGTGTGCGCGCGGAGGAATGAGAGGAGCCAGTGCCGGGTACATGCGGCGAGCTGCAGGCTACCTCCGGGGAGCACACGCAGCCTTCATAGTGAGAGTGGTCAGTACACCTCCACAGCCGGACACCTGCGGCCACACGCAGCCTTCATAGTGAGAGTGGTCAGTACACCGTCCACAGCCGGACACCTGCGGGCCACACGCAGCCTTCATAGTGAGAGTGGTCAGTACACCTCCACAGCCGGACACCTGCGGCCACACGCAGCCTTCATAGTGAGAGTGGTCAGTACACCTCCACAGCCGGACACCTGCGGGCACACGCAGCCTTCATAGTGAGAGTGGTCAGTACACCTCCACAGCCGGACACCTGCGGCCACACGCAGCCTTCATAGTGAGAGTGGTCAGTACACCGTCCACAGCCGGACACCTGCGGGCCACACGCAGCCTTCATAGTGAGAGTGGTCAGTACACCTCCACAGCCGGACACCTGCGGCCACACGCAGCCTTCATAGTGAGAGTGGTCAGTACACCTCCACAGCCGGACACCTGCGGCCACACGCAGCCTTCATAGTGAGAGTGGTCAGTACACCTCCACAGCCGGACACCTGCGGCCACACGCAGCCTTCATAGTGAGAGTGGTCAGTACACCTCCACAGCCGGACACCTGCGGCCACACGCAGCCTTCATAGTGAGAGTGGTCAGTACACCTCCACAGCCGGACACCTGCGGCCACACGCAGCCTTCATAGTGAGAGTGGTCAGTACACCTCCACAGCCGGACACCTGCGGGCACACGCAGCCTTCATAGTGAGAGTGGTCAGTACACCTCCACAGCCGGACACCTGCGGCCACACGCAGCCTTCATAGTGAGAGTGGTCAGTACACCGTCCACAGCCGGACACCTGCGGGCCACACGCAGCCTTCATAGTGAGAGTGGTCAGTACACCGTCCACAGCCGGACACCTGCGGGGTCAATGTACCGTCCTACAGCCGGCTACCTGCAATAGTATATCCGCAAACAGTGACAGAATTACATTTGAATTGGATGGTAGATGACGGTACAAGTCGACAGTCAGTTAAGTACATTACTTTTTATAATGAGACCCACTTGCGTTACATTTAAAAAAATGGAGTGCTCTTTACTCGATTCCAGTATATGTGTTCTTTTCAGGTGTTTTGGAGGTTGTTAGAATAAACACTACGTGCTGTACTAGGGTCCTAGGGTCCCCGCAGCGCGCGAAGTCTTTAACCTGCTCGCACAATAAGAGATTAAAATTTGTATTATCAATGAAATAGTATTACCCATGTTATATTGTTGTAGAATTGCAACAATATAACATATATAAGATTGATTTTAAACAACGAGATTATTGTACCAACGTTGAGGGTTATATCTCATATATGATTGTAGTCTTGAGGATTTGTTATTTACGTTTATGTTGTTTGCAGTACGGCGGCGACGAGTGTAAGGTGACTTTTGAGTTGCTGGAAGGCACCGGCGAAGGTCGCAGTTCACCGCACAACAACGACAACAGCCGCCTCTCGCCGACCAATCAGGTATGATACATGTTTATTATATAGTGAAAAATATGACCTACGTTTCTTGATGTATAAGTTATGTTACTGTAAAGTTCCATTAAAATCTGCTTCGTAGTTTTTGCGTTATAAAGTACCAAACATCCACCTATCTATATACACTAGTAAATTTCCGCGTTAAAAATATATATTATATTTACTCATTTACGGCTACTGATTAAATATATTTCCGCAACAAACATTAAAATAGCATTAGCTGGTGGTCACTACAATCATTACTTTGAATTTACATAAATCTATATTTATTATAATCATGTACAAGCTCATTGGAAAAGAATAGAGCGGACTTTCTTGTCAGTTCTTCAGATTTAATTTATACATTGATCTATATTTATTATAATCATGTATAGTACAAGTTCATTTGAGTACAAGTTCAAGAGTTGTGATTCTTGTCAGTTGTTTTTAGCTCGATAGCACTCCGAACTAAAACGGTAAATTTGACGTATCATAATAGTCTGTAATAGACCTACATGATTGTAGATACATTAGATTTTGAATTACATATGCTGCTGCAATGTCCATGTAATTATTTGAAATACCATCACAAAGGATGTGTAATATAGCATAATAGTATATATAAGCAGTATAATGTACGATGTATGTATGGAGACAATGATGAGAGCCATGCGATGTCGTGTGACAGACTGTCAGTGTTGAATACACGCATGCTGCCTTCCTACTGACGTCTCTATTATATACATACTATCTGTCCAGGAAAACGTTTCTTTTGCCTTAAAATAAAAAAAAAATTAGGGGTGGACTACCCCTGACTGAAATATAGATGTTGGCTGGCAGACCTACTCAATACGCTCACAAAATTTCATGAGAATCGGTCAAGCCGTTTCGGAGGAGCATGGGAACGAAAACTGTGACATGAGAATTTTATATACAGTGGACCCGCGGTAATCCGGCCCCCCTGTAATCCGACATTGTCTATTATTTGTTATTGAATATTACTTTGACAATATACTTCAGAGTGCATATACATACATACATATATAACATAGAATCTTATCACTGGATCTGTAATTTGTCGGATTACAAGATACTCTTTTGTAAAAAATTCCGGACTATAAGCAGAGGACCCTTAAGCAGCACTCTATAATCCGACAAATACGATGGTCCGACACTGCCCTGCAAAACGTTTGTCGGATAACCGGGATCCACTGTATATGTATATAATATAAAGAATCATCATTGGATCTATAATTTGTCGGATTACAAGGTACTCTTTTGTAAAAAACTATACGGTAGTCCCCGTATAGTTTTTAGGGGGTTTAAGGGGTCTTAGGCAGTACTCTATAATCCGACAAATTCGATAGTCCGACACTGCCCTGCAAAATGATTGTCGGACTACCGGGGGTCCACTGTATAAGATTTATATACCAGCTGAGCCTGCAATTTTGTATATAAATAACTGTATTGTTTGTAATTTTGTACATGTATGTTATTTGAAATTGTTGTAACTGTTGTTAATTGTTTTATATTCTAAATTTGTATTCAAAATGTATAGTTTCTTTTGTAGATTCTTGTTTGTCACTTTCACTCTATTCTGTTATATGTCAGTAGTCTATCCTAATATAAATTTATCCGTATACCAAATAATTTTCTTTTTCTTACCTATACATGTATAAAATAAAACTACAATAAAAACTGTGCGCAAATTGTGAGAATATGAAATGTATAGTTTATGTGTTATTCTGATGTATAAGGTATTGTAAAGTTTTATTAAAATCCATTCAGTAGTATTGCGTGAAAGAGTAACATACATCCATCCATTCTCACAAACTTCTGTGTTTATAATACAGATTTAGTTTATAATATAGTAAAGTGACTAACGATATTAAAAGCAATTTAATAAATGTTATTCTATTCTATTCTAAAAGCCTTTTCTGCTTTGCGTTAGTGTCGAGGGTCGTCTCTATCGACGGGCAACGGTTCGGCGGCGCTGTGCGTGTCGGCGGTGGAGCGGCTGGCCGCGTGGTCGCTGTACACGGAGCGATACGCCCGGCCGGATGGTCCGCCGGCGGCGCGCCCTCACAAGCCCGTGTTCCTGCGGCGGACGGCGCGCGCGCTGGCCGGGCCCGAGCCGCCCAGGAACGCGGCCCAGCACCACGCCGGACAGCTCGGACACCACGCCGGACAGCTCGGACACCACCCCGGACAGCTCGGACACCACGTGCAGCACGCGCGCGCGCGCAGGAAGCCGCCGCGGCTCAGCGACGCCTCGGAGTGCACCATCATGAACAACACGCTCAGGTCGGTCTCATTATTGCTTGATTTGTGCCTTAAAAATTAACACATTATGACCGGGACAGGTTATTGTACCCATTCCGAGGATTGCCAGTTATAAAGTACTAGAACTAGTTACGCACATTGCTGTTTAAAAGCGAGGAAGATATTAGTACCCGTTTAAAATAAGTAATTTTAAATGACACAAGGGAAATGTATATATTTATTAACTTTTTCTAAAATAAAAGTACCCTAAGTTACGTTATTATATCAGCTACCTGCCAAAAAACATCGCGTCAAAATCAGTCCAATCATTTCAAAGATTAGCCGGAACAAACAGACAGACAGATAAAAATTGTAAAAAATATTATTTTGGTGTATGTATCTAAAAACTGTTATTTCAATATTAAAAACAGACAATCCAATTTTATTTATATTTAAAGATAATCAAGAAATTAAGAGCTACAGTGCTCTTTATCAAACTCCAATATATGTGATATTTTCAAGCCGTTTGGGTGGTCGTTGAGTAACTTATGGAGTAATTCGTTAGAGTGGACACTCGGCCAAGCCGTATATTCTGAGCTTGTCTAGTACAAGCTCAGAATATACGGCTGATATATACTTGGCTGAGCTCCTTTAGTACTGGGACTAAATTCGGGAAATGATAGTTCGCAGAATTGGTTGTAAACCATGATGCCTTAAGATAGTCTTTAAGAGAATGTTCTGGAACCATTGGAGAATTTCAATGTTAGAGCTACTAACAATATACCCACAGTTGTATGCTGTAAAGATAGTTTTTGAATTGCAGACATTGGTAATTTTATTTACACATTTCAACTCAAAAATGTAAACTTACGACTATTCGAAAGAGCAACACATAAGTTTCTTGCACCTTATTGTGATTCAAAATTCAAAATATCTTTATTCATGTAGATGTATTACAGACTGTTACGATATGTCAAATCTACCGTCAGTTCGGAATGATTTCGAGATGAGAACTGACAAGAAACTCAGCTCGTATTCTGTGCAAATAAATGTTATACGTGTTTACAATAATACAGATTCATTGTTAAATTCAAATTTGGGAAAGTAGAGTGACTAGTTATAAATTACTAAGATGTCATGCCTCTTATCCTGTAATTTCACTGCCTAATCTATTCTACAACTGAAAATCAAACTTACAAACTAAGCTGCTTGGCGGCTGAAAGAAGTGAGACTGATGCAGACAACTTTTTAGTCTACCTCTGGTATTTATCATTACATAGTATAAAACAAGTCGTCGCTGTCTGTCCCTACGTATGCTTAAATCTTTAAAACAACGCAACGGATTTTGAAGCGGTTTAATAGATAGAGTGATTCATGAGGAAGGTTTATATATATAATACATTATATATATAGTACACCCGTGCGAAGCCGGACCGAATAGCTAGTTTATATATAAAACATGTCAGCGACTAAGTAGTTATTCCTTCTTACTATAATAACAGTCTATTAATATTGTTAATGCTAATGTTTGCGAAGAAGTTTGTTTGTCACACGCGTGTGGTACCTCGGGCGTTTCGTGGTATGATGTGAGAGGTACTGTTCATAGGCGTATAGGCGATGTAATACTCATATATACGCGATGGTTATCATTTACCACCGTGCTAGTACATTTACATAGATTAATGCTTAGTTTTCATAGAACAAATTTATTAATTAACTTGAGCAATACTCAAATTTCTTGTGATGAGTCTGCGTTCCGAATTAGTGGTAGAATTACTTGGTGACTATTCAAAAATGCTTATATTGAGTTCATTTGAATAAAGATTATTTCTATTTCATGGCCTCTAAGACGGTGCGAATTTTAGTAATATCTACTGTTAATTCCACTGTGTAACAAACGAACATGTCTAAATAAAGATGCGGTTTCTATGTTAATTGACACATGCCTATCCTTGTAAACTAACTATATTAACTTGGAATAACATTTTCTTAAATTGCAACACGCAAGTTTATTATTAGTTTTTCTTGTATTTACTCTGTGTTCCGAATGAGTGGTCGAATTAAAAAATATGACTATTAAAAGTGCTCAGTGTCAGGCTGTTTTCTGTATATATTATGTACATGTTTATAAAAAAATATTTATATCAGCTTTCTAGTACTAATAACACAAGCTTTGCTTAGTTTGGGACTGATGGCGCTGTGTGAATTCTTCTGAAATATTATTAATCTCTTGTGAACACTTCGCTTTCCGAATGAGTAGACTCAAAAATGACTATTCAATTGTATTTATGTGAGCGTTTGTATTGCAGGCTGCTGACGTCACGTCCGCTGCAGCTGTACCGCGCGGGAGCCCTGTCGGCGGCCCGGTCGGCCTCCGCCGCCCGGAGCGCGACCCGCAGGCGAGACCGCTTCCACGCGTGGCTGGCGGCGCACTGCCGCCCTGATTGAACCGAGCCTATCCGTCAGGGTTGCCAATCTAAATATATGTCCTCCTACTAACGTGGACGGCAGGGTTGTCGCACCTATCCGAGCCGCGGAGCGGGTGAGACGTGGCAGTAAAGTTACAGGGTATTGGAATATAATACGACCCATAGCACAAGCTCTGCTTACTAGGGACTACTTGTGAGGCAAGATGGCGCTGTGTTTACATAAAATAAACTCAGCTTACCGTGGGACTAGATAGCGCCATGTTTATTGTCCAGGGTTACTTATTATTGAAATATATGATTTATTAATCAGGAGCGGCGTGATGTGTCCAGTTCTATTTGTGATATGCATTGTTAGCGTCAGGTTTTCTTACTCAGGAATGCAGTGATGTGATATTTATGCTATTTATGAGTATAGGCATTAGTAACGTCAAGTTTGACTTAAATAAGAGAAAACGAGGCATAGAAATCTTTTATATTTCATACTGTTGTTACTTAGCAACAAGGCAGGTCGACAGCTTGCAATTAAAGTTAAATAAGGAAAGATGAGACGCAATAATTTCTTTTTTCTCTTATCTATCTACGTTTCCTTTATAAGCAAAATGCACTAAAATCTCTTATATACACTCCCATTATACATTTTAATAAATGTGAGGGGAGGGTAATCTATTAACGTCGTCTGTGATTCTCCTTATATGTTTTAGAGAAGAACAATGTTTGTTAGCAGCTACGCTATCAAACTAAATAAAAATAAAATGTTTTAAGGTCTCGTGATTTTAGTAATGATTTAAAAATTTCTATATTCATAATTGTATAGTGTTATGTCACAGTAAGGATTGTCACGGCTGTGACAATGATCAGGGGCGTGTTGAAATATATTAAATATTTGTGACATGTACATGTGACTGTGTAATTTATGAATGACTAAAAATCTCGTAGAAGTACGAGGATGGATGCGATTGGCAACCCTGGACCGAGAACACTCCCGTCGTACCTAACCCTTGTGATAAATGCTCGTTGTAACCACAGACTGCATATATTTTATATACAGAGTGTAAATTTGAGCACTGGATCCATTTGGAAAGTGTCAATCAGACGCTTGTAAAATATTTTCAAAAATTTATTATAATATTTAAAATAACAATATAAAACTGTCTCCTGCGCTGTTTGTGCTTTGTGCATTCATTAGATTGTCTGTTTGTATTGATCTGTGCATTTTTTGTATATATGTTTACAAGAAAGATATTTAAATGTCTATTAGTGGTCTAATACAACCAGGCTCTGCTTTAGATTACATAGCTCTGTGATAAATATACAGTTATTTAATAATTGCGACAGTATCATTCATGCTTCTATGCAACAGTTGCGATTTTTCAATGAGCACTGGCTGAATTCTTACACTCTGTACATATAATACTCTGTGCTGTAACTGTGAGAATATTGCACTGTCCATATGGTTTATATTATTTTTTTTCGAGTATTTATTTATAAATATATACAGTCGGTGGGATTTGTGCCTACTTAATTTAGATTATATAATAAGGCAAGCTCTGTAAATATGTTAATTGTATTCTCGACGTTCTCAATCGAGAGGTGATATGTAATTTCCACTTTGTAAATCAAAATCTCAACAGTTGGCGACCTTTGTTACCTCTTTTTAAATAATTAATAGATTATTTAAAACAAATATTATTGTTTATGTCATTTCAAATGAACGGAGTGCCCATTTGTTTAGTCGGTACTCGGTACGGCTCCTAGTTACTTTCATTTCCAACTTGCAATCAATAACAATACCAAATGTATTTGTATCCAAGATACAGGGTTAATGAGCTTTGCGAAGCAACTAAATTATATATTTATTGAATAAAATGTGGATTTATAAATTATAAAAGTTGCAAATGGAATGTAACTATGTCCTCTATACACATACAGTAAAAATAGATTTGTTCTGTCATTAAGATGTTGTATTTAATGTTTAGAGAAAATAGTATTCAAAGCAATTTATCATTATTCATGTAGGTCTATTACAAGGCAGTTATGATAAGTCAAATCTACCGTCACTTCTATATGTAGTTTGAACCGATAACCGTTAAGAAACTGCTCTAACTCTTTTCATGTGATTATAATAATACAGATAGATACTACAATTTAGAAATGACTATAAAATGTTGTTTAGCGAAGTAATTTAATCCACAATAAATCTGACAGTAGACGAAATGATTGTAGTAACTGGTTAAATGTAATTGTATTGTAATATATTGTATTCGAACCCATACCTATGCGAAAGCGGTGCCGGTGCTCCCATTAATTGAGCTATAAACACCGTCCCTTGATGATGTAATATTTGAAACATAATTCTGTTTATGTAATATTGAATAAATTTTATCAATAAGTAGTTAACCAAAACAATATTGTTCTTAAATAGTGAATAAATGTTCTCTTATTTCAAAAAGTTTTCAAATATTGACGATTTAAAGATTTACACCCTTAAATATTTACAATTAAAAATAGATAGACAAATTTTATGTGGTTTAATAATTCAATGAAACGCATTCCTTTTGTTTTTTTTATTTTTTTATTCATTTTTCAATCTACATTTCTGCAGCCATCTTGAATCGGCCATTTTGAAAGCAATGGAATTCAAAATGGCGGATAGTAGTTATTTTATTGTATGTGTATAAAACACCTTTTTATTACATTCGACGAAACGTGGACACGTCAAGTGTAGCGTTCACCACGACGTCGATAGTTGACAATGCCTCTGACTACCCCGTCTGGGATGAAAATCGTGAGCATATTTATTTTTTATTTTTAATTTGTTATTGTTATTTTTTTTTTTATAATGATGGCACAGGCAATGTTCTCACTGTTACTAGTTTTGTTTTTATGTTGGTATTATTGGAGTTTAGGCAATGCACGGACTAGCGCATGCGTGAAATGGCTAGCGAATGGTTTGCAATGTAGTTTCGTAACGATAGGCTATAAAATCTTTTTATAGTAATGTCTAAAAGAAACGAAGCATTGCAAATGTAATATAAAAGAAATAATTAGGGGAACAGGGTATTAAATCTTCAATTATTCTCGAATATTCCTTGTAATATTTTTTTTTATAAACGAGTGAAAGGTAAGCTCCAATATGCCAACAGTATTTGCTATTGCCGTAATCTCATTGACGACGGGAGACTGTCTAATGCCACGTTTTAGTGGTTAAAGACGGCCGGACGGCCATTCAAATTAGAAATTTCTAGACAAATCAAATGTATGTAATACGCATTATTGGCGGTGACTGCTTTCACGAATATCCGCAATTAGGTAAGCTTTGAGATTACTGTCACGGGCGCCATTTTGTGGAAGCAACCATTTTGTGCGAGCTGCCATCTTGCGCCGTCAGTTGTTAAGTCTGTTGCAATTTATGTACATCTAATTTATTATAAAATATGTGTGTAATACATACAAATAATAAATGATTTGGAACTAAGATGCGACACTCAATTTAATAATTTGTCTTTATAAGACACGTTTTAAAGCCATTTTGGGCTGTATAGGGGAATTTTGTATTTACTCCATATGTATGTAAATACTATACATATATATTATTACATTCAGATATATAGATGTAATTTGATATTGCGTATCTGTGATTTTTATTTACTAGTAATTTGACATTTAATTAAATCGCTTCTTAAATGCTATATATACCTCTTAAGTTTGGGATGTTATAAAAAATATAAAATAATTCTAAATATGCACAAAGACTAATTAGTAATGATATATTTAAACCAAGTAAATTACTATATAGTTTAATTAAAATATTTCTTTTATAATTATGAGAATTGAATTACTATATTTTCACCTTTTCTGACAATCGTTTGTCAATCATTAATATAAACTATGTCCATCTTCGTTATACAATATTCAAACGCCATATTTCAATAAAACCGGTAAGGTTTAGTAATAAAACTGTAACAGATAGTTTGACATTTACAGTATTTATTAGTAAGGATTATGGTACAACATATTTCTTACTATATAGGATATGTTGTAATAACAAATATATATATTGTTGAACAACTTTAAACATATATATGGAGTGATTGTTCGTATTATAAATATTGAGTATCGTATTTTAATAGAAATTTCTAATTGGTTTTGTAAATAAATCCAGATGAATGACATAGTATGTAAAAAAGATCTCTTCTTTGTTTTAAAGTACAGTACAGTGTAAATATAAATATAGTAAGTTTAGTGAGCGAATGATACAGTGATAATTGTATCAAGGATCCAATTGTTAATTTGTAAAAAGAAATGACTTGAAAGAATAAATATTATTATATTTATAATAAAATTACTTGTTTTTATTTTGACCTCTCAATTAAGTATATATTGTAGGCGATCTTCAAGCTTTGGTGTCTAAATTGCTAAATAAGTATGGAAAGTTGACTGTATATAAGATTTAAGGATGAAAGCAAGGCATTTAGATTTTTTTTATTGATGACCATTCTATAATTGTGCACTCGCCTGCACTATCGGTTTACGCTGGCGGGATACCTGTGGAGGTTGATTAGATGACAGAGATTAGAGCACGAGGTCAGGTCAGGTTAGCCCATCGTGACAAATTCACCAAGAATTTATCACGATGGTTTCCAGGGTGAACCGCATGGAGGTCAATTTGACATGGTACATTCTAGCAATAAGATCATCAGTCCACATTACTAACAATACCCTTTCATCCAAGCATCTACATTACTCGATAGCTTCCTGGAGGCCGGCCGTACTCGTTCTTTGTGTTATGCTGCACCAGCCTGCACATTTTGGTCCTCTGGAATAACAAGACATGTGCTATTTATAAGCCTCACGGCACCTCACGGCAGGGGTTGATTTACCTAAGGGCTTTTTGGGCCTATATATTTACAAAAAAATATCTAAGTAGATATTTACATCAGTTGTCTAGTACCCATAACACAACTTCTGCTGTGTTAATTGTCACACTATTCTCTCAAATTTGAATTTAAAAATGAGTCTGTATTATTGTAAACATGTATAACATTTATTTGAAAAGAATACGAGTTGAGTTTATTGTCAGTTCTTCTCATCTCGAAATCATTCCGTACTGACGGTAGATTTGACATATTATAAGTCTGTAATAGACCTACATGAATGAAGATATTTTTAATTTTGAATTGTCTACAGAAAAAAAAGTGGGTTTTAGAAAAATTACTGACATTGCTGTGATGTCATGTCTAAATGGCTCCTTACTAACACTAACGTCCCCCCTCCGCGCCCCTCGCAGGTAATCCACGCAAACAACATGACGGTTGATGTTTTCAGAACTTATTCCAAGCATAAATTATATTGATATGACGTGGCCCCAATTCTAATAATAATAATAATCTGTTAATTTTACAATACCTATTTGCAATTTGCGTATACAGACATTGTTTTGTTTCCATGTTAGGTACATATCTGTTGTTAGGTGTAAGTATGACGTTATTAAACGTTATTAAAAATATTTAAAATACAGAAAAAGTATCATCAATAATCTTTTTGCAACATAATACAGAATTTTGTAATTTACTAACAACTCGCCCAGGTTTCGAATGGGCCGAATATTTGTTTAGCTTTTAAACTGTTCGACACATTTATTTATACAAC